CTACGATCAAAAACCAGTAGTCTTTTCATATCTTCCAGTTTCAATGGTCACTTCTCGCAGCCTAAGTGGACAATACCATCAGCATACAAAAAGTTGACAAGACTGTTCCCTGGTAAGGGCCTAAAGTGAGTAACAGACAATTCGGTTAATACATTTATGATGAAAGTGAACTAAAATAAGGACGACAGTTGTAGAAATGAGCCTTGTACTACATCCTTCTTTGAAATATCAGTTCCTTCATAGTTTAGTTTCAGTAATAAGTGAATGGAATGTAGTCTACAGATTCATGAAATTCGCATACTGACGTACTACTTTCCTAGAATCCTAGTTGATGTCTCCTCAGGAAAGTGGGAAATGAGCATTGCACTTGCGTAAACTCAATAGGCTGTGAACTGCTGGCAATGAAAACGACAACAATTTTTGGTATTACTTAATTCCAAAAACGATCACATAATCTTTTATTCCGACTTCTGGTTCCATCAGATGAAATTAAAGGGAAGAGCTGAGAATAGAAGGGGTGTTGAGGGTTAGACAGTATAGATTTAGACCATTTCTCGCATGAGTTTAGATGTCTTTTAACTAATGCATTAACGAGTTGACGAAATGGTACACCACTTGCCCTAATGACAACCTTAATACCCTACACAATACGACATAGTCGTTTTTGAGTAATTCAGGAAAGAATAAGGGGGAGCAGTAAAGACCAATGCAAGAGTTAACAAGTTGTAAAAAGAGAGGTTGAATGATTCTTGACTGTCTTGACTACATAACATGGTAACCTAGACTGAAGGTTTTCTTAGAAATCGACAAGATATAGAATGACCAAGAAAGACCAGAGGATAGATTTACTCCAAGGTATTTTATGTTAGACTTAGTTTCTGTTTCAGTGTCCTCTTTGATACAAGCATCTTGTGAACGACACAGTTTTCGCAGTTCACGCTTATGAGTGAGGGGAAAGTTAGCTGCCTGACATTTAGAGGGATTTAACGTAAGACCACGTACCTTAGACTACAGACAGGAAGCAGTTAAGTTTGCTGCAGTCACATTGTAACATGACAGGAAGTGAGACGGTCAGATCACCAGCATATTTGACGAAGTTGCTCTCATTAGAAAGAGAAAGGTCATGTAAGACGAGAGAGAAAAAAGAAAAAGAGAGATAACAATACCCTGAGGAACACCAGCTCCAGCAGGCGAGGCGGAAGATTTACCCTAATATACAGTATGCTGCATTCCATTTGAGAAATGATAATGCAACCAATCAACTGCCCAGGACCCGTGTTTGCACGATCGAAACCTTATTCAACTAAAGTCATCTAGGCGCTGAGTCAACAGCAACGGCGAATGCTGAATGACCGAAAACTAAGTACAAATGTGACAAAGCACAAATCCAGTTGCAAAGTAGGAGACGAGTCCCGGGTGGAAGAAGAGATTACCGAAAGGTATCAATTTTTCATTTGACAAAGAGCAAGATTATGAACTACACTTATCATTTGTTGAAATTTTGGAGATCATTTATCAATGTTTCGCATTTAGTTACGCACAGACTGTCATTCTGAGTAGCTTTCAGTATGAGTTTGCAGAGAAGTCCACCTGTTTAATTTACCACATTCCATGTAGCACACGAAGGTAGAGACATAAAACTAAATGGAAGTTTAACGAGAGAAAATGTGAGGGAGAATAAATAATGACAAGGAAAAACATGAGTTGAATAGATATGTGAGATTACACAGAGTGAATGCACCAGTACCAGTACCAAAGATTTGCAGTCACATCTCCGGTATTTCTTCCAGCCGACTGTCAACAATTTTATGAACCAATATCACTTTTTCATTTGACCGACCCAAACGCATTTTAAACCTTAACATGTGCTGGTCAGCATTGTCCCTGGAGGAAGGCGATGGCTTAGTATGCCAGCACGTGTTCTAGCCATCTCAACCTATTCAGCTTCCCTACCTTGAAGGCTAACTAACCCTCCCCACCTAAACATTTATGCGTAACCTCAACAGCACTCGCCATATTATACTGCTTTACTGATGAGATAGAACGCGGACACCTATAATCAAACACCGGTATTATTTTCATATTTTACAGCATCAGGGGTTACTTCTCATAGTCTAGGTGGACAATATCATCAGCAAACCGTAAGGTGATGAGAATATTCCCTGATAAGTCTTTGAAGTCAATTACAGACTATCATATTATTATATGTGTGATTGAATTGAACTGTTATAAGGATGACAGTTTAAGAATTCAGCTTTGTATTACATCCCACTCGGAAATGTGTTTTCTCGGATAATTCGCAAACAGTATTCAGTGAACAGAAAACATTCTGTAGGCTTGATGAAACTCGTAAACTGACGCACTACTTTTGCAGGCAATATACTATTTCCTCAATAAAGTGAGAATTGAATACTTCGGCTGCATAAAACGAGTAAGTAGTATTCTGGCAATACCAATGACTACAACAAGTCTAGGAGTTAAGCACTACAACTTTTACTTTACTGAATACACCAGCAGACTTTACATAAACACTTGACAGATCAAATTTATACAGGGAGTCAGTAAGATTTAGTAAACTAAAAGTGCTTTCGGTTTCCACAGGAGTTCTCCGTGCCGAATTTATTCCTTCAAGGGCCTACAAAGATTAAAACTTCAATTAAATAACACTGATGTGGAAGAAATTCCATTCTTCATTACTACACTTAATGAAAATGAACTTAATGAAAATGAATGCACTAAGAACTCAGTGCAACTCGATACACAATAGTATATATACAAATAAACTGAAAAATAATGCCCTCCTTACCTTCTAAACAACTTGTCTTTATTCCAGGATTATAGTTTTTCACGTATGAGCCTGAGTTATGTCTACGAAATCGCAATATTACATCAGTTAAATCTTCCCCGAAAACCAAGGCCACTTGAAACCAATAGCAACATAGCAACAAGCGTCATTGAGGGGATATGCAATAAAGTCGCTCGATAATTTACGATTTATCCTAGGTACCTAATTCCCTGAAGTCTCATTTACGGAGTCTCACACCGTTTGCTGCCCAGAAAGTTGTGTTAGATTTACAAAGGCGTTTCTTCTTCTTCCATTCAATATCTTCTGCCTCAGTTGTTTACGCAGAAGGTGGTCACATATTCTTCGTAAACAGGAACGAGGCGAAATGCACATGATGGACATACTGCGCATACAATTTGCCTTGTGCACATGTCGTTGAGGCGTTCTTCAACTCATATCTAAATTGTGGTATGTTCCATTTCATTAAATGTTACTCTTAGATATTCTGAGGAATAGTGAGAGGTGGACACGTGTATATAACACAACGGACAACATTCCGAGGGCCATCCGGTTAATGCCGGAACCAAAAAACGCGTTTCGAAATGCTTATGAACGCTTAAGATATCGTCTCAACAGTCTGAACCGAAGAAATCCGGATGCTGCACTGCGGGAAATAGCGGAGTTTACCAGAAGGTTGGACAGTTTGCTAGCAAATGAACCGCAAACAACTTTGAGATTACGACGTGCCCCTGTTAATCCATTATTTTTGTGAAAATATTTGTATTACCTTTTTATTTCCATTTGTATTCAGAATATAAACATGTATGTATAAACTGCAGTTACACTTCCTTTCCTTTCAAAAGGCTAAGACCGACAGTTTAAAGAATACTTTGGTTGATTGTTTCGTTAAGAGAGAGCTTTAAAAGTCACTTAGAAATAAAAGCGATCTGTGCCTTATTTACTACGTTTTTCAGCCGAGCATTTGCGGTTCATAGCATATCCTGAATAACGGTGATTAATACGATTTATCACTTAGACCGCAACACCACCAAGCCTACTATATTCATAAACTTATTCTAACCTATTCATCGATAAGGCCTTTTTATGGTAACTGAAGCTCTTATTAACCCACCATTTTCTCAAATAACGCTGGTCATGCTTACAATGATACCTAGGTGCTGAATTGAGTCTTTTAGTTCTGAAATAACGCTAGTACGAGCCTAATTTGTCCTGTGAGGGATGGAACAGAGCGGATAAGCAAACCCAGTCGGTTCCATTTACTTTCAATCATGATAAGAAACCAGCTCTTAGTTTTAATCTCAAACAATAGCAGAATGGTTAGGCAGTTTACTTATTAAATAAGGTTACTATATTATAAAAGTTTACCTTATTTGGCTGAATCATTGCAGGTTCACCATAACCCTTGACTACCAACATAAAAACTGCGAACTTTAGGCTAAAAATCACCTTAATAGTAGTATCTAGTGACATAAACTGATATACACACTGCAAAATGGGAAAAACATGCGAAAAAACCTTTAAAATTCAATGGAAATCGAATTCACGAAAACATATAACCAGCCGACGCAGGAACTCATCATGACCTTGAAATTGACTGTAGCCTCTTTCATGTAAGGTCCTATATTTCAAAAGGTGCGCTACGGTCTTGTAAGTATGTTTACCATTTTCATATAAATACTTTCTGTAACCTTATAATGAATAGTAGGCGACAGTAAAGAATAAACAAAACAGTCAAGTTACCTTAAAAATACCAATTATATTTTTCTTGGTAAAAAATGACATTTGTTTACAAAAAAAGTGTGTATTTTAAAGTATATATGTATTAAAATTGAATTATACAAGTTATTAATCTTTAAGATGCTGCAAAACTGATCCCAGCTTCTCACAGGAATGTCTGCAGACATCTAAGACCGATGTCGATACAAAAAATCCAAATGGCGGTATATATATGATGTGATATAATGTCATTGTAATTTGTACTATAAACTTACCCACCTGACAACAGTACAGAATAGACGCCAAAGTCAAATGGATTTGAGTCAACCAATAAGATGGTCCGGCAATACACATGGATGTTGCTCATAATTTTCGTTGCAAGTGTCACCCAGATGTTTTCATACCAATAATACAACGACCAGGAACTGCCATTTGACACTTGAGTGGAAAGGTTACTGTCAAACATCATTATTGGACTATGTTCATCATAAAGTCAACCATACTTCTGAATCGGTAAATCCTATATTTGGAACTCATACAAATTCCACTGAATGATTTTAGGTCCATCTAAATAAACTGATTATCCCCATATACAAGAAGGGAGACAAGTCTTCCTGTGATAATCACAGAGGGATTAGCTTGAATAATATAGTATCTAAAGTCTTAGGCCCAATAATCATGCGTAGACTAAGTGGTGCTCGGGAGGCACAAACACGAGAGAGCCAGGCAGGCTTTAGACCAGGAAGAGGGTGTATTGATCATATCTTCACCCTCCGACAGATTCTAGAACATAGGAATTCCTACCGGCGTCCAACAGTCATTATATTTCTTGACCTAAAGGCAGCATTCGACTCTGTCGATCGAGAAGTTCTCTGGAGATGCTTGGCTGTAAAGGGAATTCCAAGAAAATATATTGCACTGATTGAGGCACTCTACTCGTACTCATACAGCCAGGTGAGGGCTTACGGCGAGCTGTCATCTGAACTGATGACGACCAGTGGTGTCCGTCAAGGATGCCCATTATCTCCTTTTCTATTCAACTTCATCATAGATGTGTTAATGGACTTAACCCTAGGTGACTTCAGCGACTCAGGGATTGACTTGTTACCAGGGAATAATCTCGTTGACTTGGAATATGCAGACGATATAGTCCTTCTAGGCGAAGACGCTGACGAAATGCAGAGTCTTCTAAACACCTTGAGCCGCAATCTACGAATGTTTGGCATGCGATTTGCTCCCGCCAAATGTAAGATGATGTTACAGGACTGGACTACATCGACTCCTAGTTTAGAAATAGGAAGTGAAATGGTAGAGCACGTTGACCGCTTCACTTATTAGGAAAGTACCATCAGCCAACTCCAACGGGTTGATCGCTGACGAAATCTCGGCACGGATACGGGGGGCTCGTTTCGCATATGACAGTTTACGCCGTCTCTGGCGTAGACGAGATGTTCGACTATCGACCAAAGGGCGGGTGTACTGCTCATCAGTCCGCTCCGTCCTCCTTTATGGTTGTGAGACCTGGCCACTGAGAGTGGAAGACATGAAAAGACTAGCTGTCTTTGATCATAGGTGCCTGCGCTCTATTTCCCGTGTAAAGTGGCATAATAAGGTGAGCAACATTGAAGTTAGGCGTAGAGTTCTAGGTAAACAGGGGAAATCAATCGACGAAATCGTGAAGTTACAAAGACTGAGATGGTTAGGACATGTGTTACACATACATGTCTAGTCATCGCCTTCCTCGACGAGCAATGTTAGCGGATATAGGGTCAGGCTGGAAAAAAGCTAGCGGCGGTCAAACAAAAACTTGGCCTCACCAGTCAATGAAATCCACAACAGTTGGTCTAAGCCACGTAGAAAGGTGTAGACTTCCAGGCTGGGGTCCTCGGGGCGGTAAAAATCTATGGTTGGAAACAATTGGTGACATGGCTCAAAATCGTTCTCAGTGGCTGGCGCAGATGCATCCACTCCTTGTGACTTATGATCTCCAATGAAACTGTTTTGTTTTTCTTTATTACTCCTTTGTCTCACATCTCTGCTCACTGTTTCTATTATGCTTTTCTTGTACTTTCTTCTCTTGCTTCGCGTGCTACACGGAGTTTGGCGACTTGAACTTCCGCACATTTGTGCAAAGTTCTGTGTCGAAAACAGACAGACACAGACAGACAGACAAATAAACGTTTTATGATATTAAAAGGCTCCCGATATATGATATGCAGGCACGTAGATTTTTTGTATCGACATTGGTTTGCTATGTCTACGGTCACGACTATGAGAGACTGGGACCATTTTCAACAGCACGTGAGAGATATATACACTATAATTCAGTTTCACTACATATGTCCTCTAAATACACTTTTCTAAGAAGTAAATGCCACTTTCACCTGGAAGAATATAATTGGTAGATTAGATTTCACTTGACTTTGGTGTCTATTCTTTACTGTTACCCGAAATTCATCTCCTTTCTTGGGTTCAACAGGAAAACTCAACTCCTTCAGCGTAAATAATTGGTTACTGAGACGCTTGTTTGCACTTATATGGCCTTTTTCTGATCGTAACTTAACGTCAAGTTTATGATCTACCAAAGCGGTAGTATGTAGTTGTATGAAAATATTTGTATGCGAAAATGATGCCTAAGCTCGATAGGTAGTGTCTTCGGAGTTCCATTTAAAAATGCTGATAATGGTAGCACTCAACTACTCGGAACAGAAGTCATCGACCACACATTGTATCAGTGCTTGACTAGTTGGTACCACAGTTTGAGCCGATACATCAGCTAAAAGAATATTTTGTTAATCTTCGTTTGCTACAATTCTGTCGTCGTAATTGTCTGTTCCCAACTAGTTATAAGTTCGAACTTAAGGAGGAAAGTTGCCAGATAAAGGGATGTTTGAAGCCGTCATTGCAAGTTGTTCATGTCGTTTTCAGCAACTGTTGGATGGCTTCAGTAACAACTGTTACTCCTGTAGTACGAACGTGAACAGTGACCACATTATTATCCACGCACGCATCTACACCTTAAGAGATAGGAGAGTGCTACAAATCGGAAATCCTTAATTTTTTAGCCGATTGATTAAAGGCTGAATTATAAAGAAAGGTAAGGTTGTAGAGTGTTTTAGGAGGATGTATTAAACCAACTAGTGGTTTTATTATCGATAGTCATTTTTTAATTGCGGCTGGACATGATATCATGTAAAATTCCCATCTGGATATATCGTTTTTAGCACATTATGTAACGATAAAATAACCCATTAGTTGAAGACTACGGAAATAATACTAACATTAATACTGTTAAGAATGATTTACCATTCCAAATGTCTTCATTTTCACTACTGTATAAAAATGGAAAACTTGTTACGTTATTTAGGTTATTGTCCACGTGGCTTAGGTCGTCTTCGTTATATCAGTTACGATTGCATCTGATTTGTTATTTTTGGTGCTTTTTAATCTGCATTTGCATTGGTGAATAGTATACATATGCTTACATAATTTCAAAGAAATCTGTTACTCTTTAGGTTTGAATCTTTCATACGTTTGCTGAAGATGCCGAAAAGCAAGGCCATTGAAGTGCGCCCAAGAAAACGTAAACATAGTCAAAAAACTGAGGAACCTTCTAATTCAGTTGTTGAGCATCCAAAGCGTGAAGTAAACCATACACCTCATTTATCTGAAAGTTCACGTCATTTGAAGTTTAAAAGCCGTGGGAATAGTGAAAAATCATTCTTAACAGATTTTCCTATTGGAAACAAAGTCCCAAAGCGTTTTCTGCTTTCTTTTGTGTACGTAGCTATTTTAGGCTTGTTAGTGGCAGTAGCTTTCTATCAAATGTCGAAATGGTATCAAGGGAAACTTGTCGTTACACCTGTTAATTTTCCTAAAATTGTCCCTGATGACGCACTGTCTGAACGGTCTCATAGTTTGTTTTGGGGGAGTTATCGTCCAGGAATATATTTTGGGATGAAACATAGGAGTCCGAAGTCTCTTTTATTTGGAATCATGTGGACAGTCCAAGATCCAGCAAACTTCAACTTTCGACACTCTTGTGATCAATACGACGGAGTCCTAAGGTATGTTTTCATGGACTAAGGTCATTACATGCAGTGTGTTGAAATTCAACTTCTTTAAACCAATAAAACACACTTTAACCAGCTGTTATTGTATATACCGGAAGTGATTCACTGACTAGACAGTAACTTTACACAGAAATCACCAGGTCAACTTGTCAAACTACGAAAAAGCCTACGCTGAAGTAAAAAGAGCAAAAATTCTATCGAAGTTATCGTAAACGAAGATGTATGGGAGAGAAAATGGTTAAACACAGGTTTACATAAATTTTAAGAACTCTAATGATAACAAGGAGTTATTAAACGAAGAACATTGTGAATAATTTCAAGCCATATCATTGATAGTTTCTAACTGTTGATGCTAATTCACATACCACCTTCTGGTGAAGAGATATAATAGGTATTGGACCCCGATAAGTAATCCTATGTTTCTGAACCTGCGAGAAGTTGAATATATAGTCGATATATCCCCGTTCAAGTTTCAAGCCCTTCTTGTTCCCACCGTCCTGTTTCTCCTAAACATCGCCTGGCTTTCTCAAGACTACGGAATATAGAAATCTAGGTACTATGTTAGTCAAGCTAACTCTTTCTATAATAATCACAAGAAGACTCACCTCTTTTGTTGCAAACGGACGATCTACTATCTACACTAATCTGTTGGAACTATCTTAGATTCCCATACACTAGCTACAATTTCTCTGAATCAGCCTCAGTAAAATTATAAGGGGTAATTACTGTTGTTGGTGTTACGGCATGTAACTTTACGGATATCCCAGGTATGGTTTCCAGATTTGTCTGAGAATATGAGTCAAAATTATTGTATCGAGGCTGATAATGCCACCTGGTTCCGTAGTTTGAAGTAGGTAGAGAAGCATTCGTGTCTGAAGCCCATCCATTGTGAGACTGAGTGCTTAAACTACTCAGCCACATCTCCAATTTTAGCGACCAAATATGTGTTTTGATAAAGCATCATTCGATTTTTAACGGAGCGGCAGTTGGTAGATTTGTATGGGGAAATTACAGGAAGGTATCAAGAAGTTCTACTATCTTTCCTTATTCTGCTGGATCCATGTAGCCAGATAGTATGTAGACAGATTCACGTGTCTAACCAAAGGATTTATTTGCATCCGGAAGATGAATTCTGTAAATATACCATGTTTTTCTTGTGAAGTTAATTGAATAAATATATTTGGACCTAGATGTTTGTCCCAAAGATAAAAGACATTAGACCTTAGATACCGGAGGTTTCGCAAAACGGAAACTGTTGTTTAATTTAGCATAATTTTCCGAGGTTGAGGGCTTCACCACTTAGTTTTCCCTTATCATCAAAAGAATTGGTATGCTCAAGCAGTAAATTCTATTTGTTATATCTTATGGTGAACAATGGTTTAAAACAGTTACTTCACTGTTTTGAATACGTGGCTGTCGGTTGAAAATTTAATCCTTTTGATACTATGAACTGCTTATGTAAATATGTATCAACTAAACCACACCTGTTTGCTCCCGTAATTGATCCAGCAATGTTGACTGATTACAGTAATACAGGTAAGTTAGACCATTTGTTGTAAGTATAAGAAATGTGTATGGATAAACTAGGTGGCAGGATTTCGAATCGTACTTCCGGAAACTGGTGATCTGTACGGCTACAAGACCAACTATTTGAAATTTTGTTCGTATAGGTCTTCATGTATAGGCAATACTTTTGTAAGTCATTTAGTTCTAGTCTCCAAGCCGCTTCATATCTAAGGATATTTCATACCTCATATAATTTTAAAGTTAATACATCCTGAAATGGTCTCTCTAAATTATTTTGGACTAGTCTAAATGTAAAGAAATTTTCACAACTTATGTCTGTTAGTACTCTCGGACTGTACAGAGTCAGGATATTACTATTACTTAACACGTATCAGTCGTCAATCAGTGTATTGGTATAATAACACTTTATTCCAGAGGGAATCTAAAAAAAACCGTATATTATATCTGCTTGCTTTCTACCGGTTGTTGCTAAACAGTTTATTCGTACATAGGTGTTTTTGCTTACCTAAGCTGACAGCATTTGAAATTCAGTATATCGTCTAATGATCCTTTTTAAAATCGTTATATCATACAGAGAATGTCTATTGAAGGATAGGTAACGAAATCATCAATGTGAGTAGGAATACACATTTAAATTTAGTGGCTTGTAAGCCATAAGTTTGAAGTCAAGGTTATCTGAATCTAAATAAGTTCGCAAATTACATTTTATGTTTCTCTCTCTGTATTATTATTATTTCCTTTGATTCCTAGAGGAAGATAAGGCTTCAGCCCACTTCTCCATTGCATTCGGTTCTCTGTAAGAGTTTTCACCTGGCTTCAAGCCTGCCCACATGTTTTCATCTTCTCTTCACATGACCTCCTCCAAGTCACTCTCGCACCGACGACCAATTCGCCGCTTCCCTTTCGGGTTCCACTTGAGGGCTTGTCTAGTTATGTCACTTGGTGGTTTTCTCAGACTATGGCCAGCCAGTCCACCTCCATTTCTTCCTACATATTTGTTGCAAAATCGGTTCTTGCTGGGTTGGTTTGCTCATTAACACAGATCCCTGTTGGCCGGCCATCTGATCTTGAGTAGTATTGACCGAAGACAGCTGTTAATGAAGTTCTGTAGTTTGTTTGAAGTGCTTTTTATGACTCGCAGTGCAAGTCTGTGATCCATAAAGTAGCACTGATTTCACGTCGGAGTTGAACTCCGCATCTCGCTTTTCATGTTGAGTGCTGTTGGCCTCCACACAGACTTGAGAGTAATGAAAGATTGCCTTGCTTTCCCCATCCTTGCTTTAATATCCTCGTCAGTTCCACCTGTAGTTGAAACGATGCTTCCAGATAAGTAAAGGAGGTTGTTTCTTTCAGAATTCTCCCATTTATGCTGATTGTTGTCTGTTCCTGTTGGCCAGGAATCTTCATCACCTCTGTTTTCTCTATGTTTACTTGAAGTCCTATCTTTGATGCTTCTTCTGCCAACTTGTTGCTTTTCACTTGCATATCTTCCAGTTTGTGGGAAATCTCTCTCTCTCTCTCTCTATATATATATATATATATATATATATATATATATATATGGTTGTAATTGACGGATGTACAAATTTTAGGATAACAGACCTTATAGACTATTTGGTCATCAGTTGTCTGCAATTTCACGCCGGGCAAATGCGTACTTATAAATGTGACTATTTTTTATCTGTGTGACATAGTTACAGAAAATATCATGTGATGACTTTTATTGTTCTTGTTTAGCTACAACTGGTTAGAACATGATGGTCGTACTTTTGGAACACAACAAATAGTAGATATTCATCATATAATCACGATATCGTTTGTTAAACCGTCTACTGATTTTATGGGTAGTGACTGGACGGTGAGAATTTCGGCAGTGGCTCGAAATCGTGTAAGTTTTTTGCGTTAATACAAAAATCTTCTTTCTTTTGGTTTTTGCCTAGTTTTAGTTTTCTGTCCAGTACTCCTGGATGGTTTCCAGTAGTTCTCCGATTGACTCGTAAAATCAAATCTAATCCTTACAGACCGATCATAGAAAATTAATCTGATGCTCGCTATAGGATGGAGTTTCCTGGAGTTCTTGTGAGAAGTCGTGACCAGTGAGACCCATTCAGACGTCAAGTGTGAGGATGGATGTCCCGCCGATGACACTGGTTGGGGTCGCGCTCAATCACGAATTGGTAGAAGTTGGAATTCATGTGCTAGCCATTGAATCGGATTCCAAAGGTTGAATGGTATATATATATATGTCTTAGGTACTGTTTGTTTCGAGGTAGATGAACGATTTATAGCAAATACAGTGACAAAATTTAATCTCTGTTATGTACTTCTTAAGGCACTTCTAAAGGAATGAGATATTTTGTGCTTGATGTGCCACTACTTTCCTAAAACAGCGACGTTAAGCAAACTATATCCCGAAATGGATCATTCAGTTTATAAATATATGTGTAATTATTATATAAAACTGTTATTAGCTAAATGGCTTTGTGATAAATCAGTTAGGCTTGAATCATAAACAAGATAAATACCACACAAGTTATTTCCTGCTAAGGTTAGTAAATAACAGTAAAGCTCAATCCACAAATAATTCAACTATAATCCAATAAATTATTTAATTGAATTTTAGATTGGTTGAACTGAAGTGCTCGGTCTCAGGTTGACATGTAGGCTTCTTGTCAACCTGAGGCCGAGCACTTCGGTCCGATCAATCGACGTGAAAATCTAAAATTCAGTTCAGTTAAATAACTAATATAACCCATTGTTTTACAAGAGGTGGCTCTCGTGGCCCAAGTGGTCTAGTGGATAACGCTTAAGCGTTTGAAATTATGCACACTGGGTTCAAGCCTTGGTGGGAACATCATCGCCGACTCACTATGGAATGCAGGTACATCCAGCTGATGAGTCCAAAATAGGACGAAATATACGCGTTATCCTGGATTCTACTGCTAGTCACCATACACCAATTAAATAATCTAATAAAGGCTATATTATTTATTCAAAGCGTACAGGACATGTGGTGTGAGATACTTTTATAGAATGGTTTAAATAGTATTGTGGGAACTGAGTAATCAATTTATATTAAAGAATCAGTGTATTCAAATCGCTTTCATTTGAGTAAATATTTAGCTCAACCTTTGCATAAAAAAATAATTGTCGAATCAACACTATAATATCAATGTTTAAGTAAATTTCAAAGGCTGTTATGCCTTGACGTAGTAGGTTTTTCACATATCTTCCTCTGTGCTACTACTACTACTACTACTACTACTACTAATAATAATAATAATAATAATAATAATAATAATAATAATAATATACTATATTCCAAAAACAGTACTTGTGATAGAGAATGGAATTTTCAGCATTAATCACAATATTGCATCTGATTTCCTCATATTATAAATAAGATTAATCACACAGAAAATTTTCCACATTTATAATACGGGTAATGTCGAAAACATGCAGCATATGAAATAGAAATAATAATAATGATAACAGCTAAGGGGTAATAATAATAATACAAGTGAAAATTACCGTGGGCTTGTTTCACACAGTATTGTCAGTGCGGTATAGAAATCCTAGCATGTTTAAAAATATTGAATATAATATTCTCTTTACATGATATGGTGAGGGGAAAAACAAAGATTACAGCAGTCATAGAGATAAGTTGGTGTTTTTGAATTATGACAGTAAAACAAAGAGGCAACAGGACCATAAATATAATAGAAATAATAAAAGTAAACCTTGAAGGTATATAAGGATGGATAAAGGAAATTGTTTATTTACTAGATGAAAAAAGGTTAGTTCTTGCCTGACGCTATTTTCATCACATAAAATCTGTGCCAAGTATAGTATCATAGAATTTTTATACTTAGACGTGCGAGCATACAGTTTTCTGAAGTTACTTCTTGTTCTGCCTGAGGAGATACAAGGTGAAGGCTGAGGGTAAAGCGGATGCTCCAAGTCAGACAAAATCCCTCTAGCAAATTTATTGCACGAAGTCAAGTGCCTATCGACAACAACATTAACTATGTGATCCTCTGGGATATCACTCACCCTAATAACCGTCTTCAGCATTCTACGAATTGTGACATAGCACTTTTTAAGCAAACCAGGAAAGAATAAGGGTGAACAGTAAAGAAGAATAGGTAGGATGCAAGAGTTTGTGAACTTCAAGAAGAGGGGTTGAGTTATACCCGAGTGCCTTAACTTTTTAATGTAAAATGTCAGGCGGAATATTTTATTGGAGATTGCTAAGACATGGGAAGACTAGGGGAGATCAGAAGACAGAATAAGTCCAAGATACTTAATTTCTGATTTAATTCCTATATCATTGTCGTTAATCTTACAGCTGTCATGAGAATCGATGACTTCTTCTAACTGTCTTTAACATCTTAAGTTGAAATTAACAGTTTGACATTTAGAAGGATTCAGTTTAAGACCGTTAGACTCGAACCATTTACTGACTCCCGACAGAAAGCTATTTATTTTGGTACAATCTAGCTGGGAGTTAACAGCCATTGAAACTGTTAAATCATCAGCGTACTTCACAAAGTTAATTTTATCTGAGTGAGGCAAGTCATGCAAGAAGAAAGAAAAAAGAAAAGCAGAAAGGACAGCGCCTTGAGGGACAAAAGCTTCAGTAGGCAGTGAAATAGAAGACTTCCCTTTATACACGGTGTACTGCTTTCTTTCTGAGAAATAGGAATGTAACCAGTTAACAGCCCAACATTCTGTTTGACTAGCAGCAAGTTTACTCAATAAGATGTCCCTAGGGACCGAGTCAAAAGCAGATGTATAGTCTAGGAAAGCACAAAGAACAAATTTAGCCCCCTTGTCTAGACTGTTATGATATAAGACGGCAGCTGCATCTAAAGTACTTCTACTGTGCTTAAAGGCAAATTGTTTAGGGTCATTAAAGGATTTAAGCGAAGGTACAAGACTAAGTAAAAGTAATTTCTCCATAGTTTCCAAAAAGGAGAGGGGATAGCAATGGGTCTAAATATGACACATGTTCCAGTAGATGATTTAGATACTAACCACTCTAACCAAGAGTTGTTCTCATGATCTCAGTTAATCAGCCATAACTATGGGATGTCTTACAGAAATTCTTTTTCTTCTTCTTATTATTATTAGTTTTCTGTATAAATTTACTGGCGTACATGTTACAGTTTGTTTTTCTTCAGAAAATCTAGTTATTCGTAATAACTTCAACTTACAAAAATGACTTTCTTTACTGTAATGCATTCATCATGTTTTTGATTTTTCAGACGTCAATGAGCTATCCATTATCAATAATCGTTTATTTTTATTATCCTGGAAGTGAAAATGACTTTTTCATTCACCCAATTTTTTCTGATCAAGAATTAACTGGATTACAAGGTTGGTTGTTTCTACTACTATTTATTTCTTAGGAGGTATTCAATTTCATAGTCATAATATTGATATATATAACATTTAATTTTAGCTCAGAAAAATGGTGAACTTTTAAATATCTACTGAATATGATTTTATGAGTATTCAGATATGTATCCAGATATAACGAATTTCCTGGGATGTGATTTGAACGCCGAATCAGATTGAAATCATTGAAAATTTTATTTAAAAAATAATCTCAGCGTGTTTAACGAAAAAATATTCATTCAGACATCTATAGAACACAAAATAATTGAGCGAAGAATATTCTTTTCGATAAATTCCTCATCTGGCTCTTTTATATATATATATATATATATATATATATATATATATATATATATATATATATATATATATATATATATATGCATATGTTTATATACATAGAATATTCTAGAATAGTAGTCAATAACAATATCGGTGTTTTTTAAATAATATTGATTTGTAAATTAAGATCAATGGAATTACAGTTCATTAAAGGAGCTTAAGTTATAATAATAATAAAGATATAGTAGGAAATAGAATATCAACTAAAATTAAGAAAATTCCACAAAAATTGAGCAGCTTTCAAACCTAGATGGCCAAGGTAGGTAATGATAATGTCTGAACCAACTTCTTTTCGATGCAAAAATGAGGCTTATTAATATGGATCCCAACAGCCACCCTCAGCAATATGTACTAGTTGAACTCTTAAGGCAAAGTTGGGATTCATAAGTATGCGGTGTAAATGACCCTGAAAGCAGCATGGTTAACGTCAATCTTGTGATCTGTATCCACAAGACGAGTGAGATAGGTAGGATAGCGCTGCGAATAGACTTTGTTTGTGCTTTGCTTAACCACGCAGGGTGATGTTCGGAAATTGGACGAGAAACACTCCTAATTTTACGGCCTATGTAACTGGCCTATGTAACACAGGAGCACACACTCCTCTTTTGCGTTCGGGAGTAAAAGACAAACTGCCTAATTTCGCCTCTTCCATGTGTATCTACCAGTTTAACTGCTCCTGTGGAGCCAGTTAGTTACATAGGCCGTACAATTAGGCGTGTTCCTCGTCAAATGTTTGCACAACAGCCTGCGTGGTTAAGCAAAAGGCAAACAAAATCTATTCGGAGCGCTATTCCATCTCACTCGTCTTGTGGATATAAAACACAAGATTGACGTTAACCATGCTTTCAGAGTCATTTACCGCATACCTACGAATCTGAATTTTGCCTTAAGCGTTCGGCTACTAAATATCGCTGAAACTGGCTGTTGGGATCCATATTAATAAGCCTAATTTGTGCTTAGTTAGTTCAGACATTATCATTACCTACCTTGGCCATCTAGGTTTGAATGATCCTGGATTTTTGTGGAATTTTCTTAATTTTAGTTGGTATTCTATTTGCTATTATATCTTTACTGTTATTATTATAATTTAAGCATCTTCAATGAGCTGTAATTCCATTCATCTTACTTTACAAGTCGATATCATTTAAAAGGCACTGATATTGTTATTGACTACTATTCTAGAATATTCTATGCATATAAGCGTATATCTATAATTGTAGAGCCAGAAGAGGAATTTATCGGAAAGAATATTCTGTGCTCAATTGTTTTGTGTTTTAAGAAAAAAAGTCGAAACCAAGTTTTTTTCTCTGTAAGCCATAGTTTTTTCATCAGAATTATTCGGATTTTATTACCCATCAAAATATATCGTCGAAAAAATTACATAAATCTACTTCAATGTTGATGGTTAATAAAATTCGAATAAATCTGCCGAAAAAACTGTGGCTTACTTTCAGAAATATTTTGTTTTGATGTTTTCTTAAACATTGCCATTATTTTGAAAGATTTCTAGTACTACATGCGGCACAAACTGTATCCATCAGGTTTTGAAATATAAATGTGCACTATTTAGATCCCCGTAATAGTCATATTTTTTTGTTCTGAATTAGAGCTTCAACCCTAGTGAAAACCAGCGACTGTGATTACTTTTCGTTTTTTTGAATTTGATTCCTATCAAAGGTGTCGCTCTATGTTTAACGTAAAATACCCGCATGGTTTGAAGGTTTCAAACAGAGTCGAAAGTGTATTAGGTTCATATTTCAGAGTTATTATAAGTTTGCATCGTTGCAAAAATATGTGGAGAGAGTAAAGCGGTCAAGTGTGCCACATTTATTTGACAGGTTACTTAATTAGTGTGTAGTAAGTAGTCTGTTGACGAAATCCGATAACCTATATCAAAAGTTCATAAGGTATTTGTTAGTTTTTAGTATTTATAGTGCTACTCATATTTGACTTTTTGGGTCCCAGTGGCTCAATGGTCTACCAACTAGCTCGCCTTGTATCCAGAAGGTCCAGGGTTCGAATGCCGGTGGGTGCGTACTGATGAAGAGTCCCAAACTAGGCTGGCGAAACAGCTGTCCAGTACTCCCAGGTTTTCCAGTGGTTCTCTAACTGATGTCAGCTCATGATGAAATCTTCCATGCAATCAAACAAAGGAAAATCCCTACAAAACCAATACCTGTTTGTAAATAATCAAGTTTTTTACTTAACAGGCTACTCTGTTCGACTTTTTATTTTTTTTCTGCCGAAATGTAAACTCCATATAGTGTAAGCACTGAGAAGTATATTTAGAAAATTATGCAGCTCAGTCGGTACAAGCATTATCATGAATCTGATGATGAGCCACACTATGCACCGAAACTTACATTGTTTATTGTTCGAGCCAGTGATCTGCATTTCCACATATTCGATTACAGAGGATACCAGCGCATCACCAATATTTACTGAAGTTGTTACGTTGTCAATTTTTTAGTTTAGGCATGTAATGGTAATACATGCACTCCTCTTTTCTACATGGTTTAAGCCACGTTGGAAGGTGTGTAGACTTCATGGTTGGGATCCTCTGGATAGTAAAAACCGATGAGTGGAGAGACAATCGGTACTATGGCTCGAAACTGTTCTCAATGGCTGGTTCAGATGCATTCACTCTTTGTGATTTATCATATCCATTGTAATCCTGTTGTTTTTCTATATTGTTATTCTGTTTCCATTGCTCACACATATCTGTTTATTGTCTCTTTTTTGAATCTCCCTTTACTCTTTTCTCTTGGTTTATGGGCTACATCGAGGGAGTGTGGCATCTCGAACTGGTGCACATTTATGCAAAGTTGAAACCAGTCAGTCAGTCAGTCAGTCAGTCTGTCTGTCTGTCTGTCTGTCTGTTCAGCTAGCATGCAAAAGCGACTTATTCTACGTAGGATGAATTGTTTGTAGCAAAGTGAACATTTGTTGATTTTTTATTGCGCCATACTTAGTAAGCATTCATTGAGCGAAGCTCTTAGTACTATTCTATAAAATTCATCAATCCTGAAGCAAACATCGTTTACCTCGTATTGTTATCATTTAGAGAAATTGATTCCAAAAGCCTAGAGCAGATGATTATTGGATATATGTGTGTGATATGAGTTTTCGACAGTCTTCGGTTTAGTCGTGATAGGTGATCTGATGCGAAGTCTTCAAATGAGGAGGAAAATTTCTGTGAAACTTCTGACACCTCTAAGTGTTGTTTATATGCAGCCAACTTTGCTTATTTTTAATTCTTAATTAGGATGAATCAGTGTGTAGTATGTACAAATTTAAATCTTCAAAAGAATGGATACTGGACAAAGAATACTCTTTTCGATAACTTCATCATCAGGCTCTACAGTTATATATAAATCAGTGTTATGAACAGTATTAATGTTGTGTAAATAACATCGAATCAATGCTATCAAGAGACTATAGTTCGAGAGCATCAACATAAAACAAGCTGAATGTCAAAAAAATTAGGAAGGATAATATTACAAATTCATGAATTTATAGTCTCTACTGAAGGCCATGGTAGTATTAGTAGTAGTAGCTGGCTGGACTTGCTTCTTTTGCACACAAAGCACTGGTTGTTTGAGGCGGATTGCGATAGCCTCTGCGGTTGGAAGCATGTCGTTCTTCGACGTTTTTGGCAACTTATTAAGCACCCGGTAGATGACAGAGAGGGATTCTTCAACGCTGCCTGGCTTTGTGGCCGGTTTTCACCAGATGGTCCAATATCGAACTGTTAATGGTTTTCACTACACCTTAACTTAGCCATAGTTGGAGATGGTCTCGATGTTATTTAAACACTAATGTTGTTCATAACACTAATTCATTCATTCACTATAGTGTAAATATAACTGTAGAGCCTGATGATGAAGTTATCGAAAAGAGTATTCTTTGTTCAGTATTCATTCTTTTGAAAATTTAAATTGGCTAATCAAAATCTTGTATTGTTAGCTTATTATATAAGTATATAAGTCACAAATCCCAGCTGTTGAATAATTTTAATGTCAGTACAGGTTTAAGTTGAATTTTAAATAAATATACCATTTTTTGACAGTGCAGGTGTAATTCACTATGACTTTTTTTCTCTTTTTCAAAATTATGCTTTTAGGCAGTTCAATGGAGTTAAGTGATTTCCATATTCTGTTTCATGCTACGCCTGACAAATTACAACACACCAGTCTTAAAGCACATATACCCAGAGAGGATGCAATCAAAGAAACAATGTTTTCTGGTTTAGGAATAAGAAAAGACAATAATCTTTTAGCCTTAACAGGTGTTCCCCAGAATTTCAATGAAGAACAATTTACCAATGCTTGGTTTTATGAAGTCAGTGCAATCGTGCCGGGATATACTGATATCAATGAAGTGAATAAGCCTATTTTAGAAGTTGAATTTCTCCGACCACAAAGTTCACTGGCAGGATTCCGTGCTAATAGTTTCTCTCAAGAATTATCTAAAAAGTCACAAAATTTCCATGAACAGTTTACTGAAAAATTCAGTGTGGATTCAACTAAATTTACTGATAGACAGGTGTGTGTGTATACCTTTAATTCTATTTTCTTGTTATTCTGTGTGCTTTAAGAGTTAATTTTAACTCTGAATAATTCATGGTAATGCTGGCGAACTAACTACATGTCTTATTCTCTACACGATCGATGGTGATTCCTCGACTGAAAGATGAAGTACCTAGACTAGCCATTTCAAATTGTATCTACCAATTTAACTGCGCTTGTGGTGGAGCGAGTTATATTGGTCGTTGCTCTAGGACCTTGATTTGTCGTGCTCGCTCGCGAACGTCTCCCACTATGGCTAAGTTAAGGTGTAGTGAAAACCATTAACAGTTCGTTATTGGACCATCTGGTGAAAACCGGCCACAAAGCCAGGCAGCGTTGAAGAATCCCTCTCTGTCATCTACCGGGTGCTTAATAAGTTGCCAAAAACGTCGAAGAACGACATGCTTCCAACCGCAGAGGCTATCGCAATCCGCCTCAAACAACCAGTGCTTTGTGTGCAAAAGAAGCAAGTCCAGCCAGCTACTACTACTAATACTACCATGGCCTTCAGTAGAGACTATAAATTCATGAATTTGTAATATTATCTTTCCTAATTTTTTTGACATTCAGCCTATTTTATGTTGATACTATGAAGCTGTAACCTATCGTTATTATTGATTCGATGTTATTTGAACAACATTAGTGTTGTTCATAACACTAATTAATTTATTCATTCACTATTATGGGTGTATATAACTGTAGAGCCTGACGATGATGAAGTTATCGAAAAGAGTATTCTTTGTTCAGTATCCATTCATTTAGAAGTTTTGACTTTTCAAAATAATTTATAGCTTATATATTAAAATAATTTTAAAAAGCTACAGTAATAGGAAATTCCAAAAGTCATAGATTAATTTATAATTCGTTTCTCAATTAATTAGATGATCTCAAATAAACGTCTAAGTGATGTAACAAGGCGGTCTGAATATTTCTGATCAAAGTTGAGCTAAGTACTGTTAGTTGTATATTGGGTGAAGGATGTCTTGTTTCAATTAATATTATTCAGCTATTTTTTTCAACTAAAAAGACAGAGAAAATATCCCTTTCTGATAAATTCATTTTAAGCTATTCAATCATATTAGTATGGACTATAATCATATATATATATATATATATATATATATATATATATATATATATATATCATTGAGTGTTGCAGCATAACTTCATCATCAATATAAGAATTTACAGGTTGTCTGTAACCAATAGGACGGCCAAGATAGTGGGATAAGTATGAAATTTGAAGGCGTGTAAATTATTGTCTTTTTTTTAGAAATGTAAATGAATATCGTTTAAGCACCTGTTTGGTCGATTAACAGGGAAGCTCAACTGATCGATTCCTCCTAATGTTTTGAGTGAAATTAATGAGCAGCAACACAGTGGAGATCAGTACTATGTCTTAGGACTGGCATTACACACGCTATGATTAAGTAACAACTTGAACTGATGCACTTCTGTGTTAAGTTTTATGTTGAAATTCAGTCAGACAAAACTATCAAAGAAGACATACTAATGAAGCTATGCAAAGTTTTAGTTAACTGATATTTGAAGAAAATACAAAGATGAATTCAGCGAAGAAAATTTTCTTTATCGACGAAATCATCTTCACAGGCTGTACATAGTCGTATTTATATTTACTAAAAATGTCTAGTAGTCTATTAATGAGTAACAGGGGAGGGGTTGACATAACTGATATAATTACTCAGAAGTGGCTTTAGAAGGAAAAAAAAATAAAAGTTGTAAATTACGTGGTATTCAACGGCACAAAGTTAAAAATTTGATAAGGTCAAATTTGTTATTGACTGAGAATAGAGGTAGTTGAGTATCAATTTAACAAGTATGAAGAGGGTGTGAAAATGTGCAAAATGAACATATATGAGAGTGATAATAGTGAATTAATTATTCGAGTAAAAGCTAACTACAAAATACAGTTGGAAAAAGAAAAAAAATTAAAATTTTTTTTACATGGAACGACCAGAGGAGGTTAATACCAAGGTAGAATAAGAGACTGGACAAACCTTTTCTGTATACAGAGTTCGGGGTTGTATTGCCAACAAGTTGCCAGTCTCTCTGCCCTACACAAAGCCGAAACCTGACGCCCTTTCTTCCATTTGGCCTCACCTTGTAGATGAGCTTGAAAGACGACTCTGGTGGAGCTGCGTGGCCGAAGTTCTCCAAGTGTTTGAGAATTGAGCTAGTAAATGTCTTGCATTGTCCTTTTTCTAACCATGCCGCATAATGTTCAGAGATACGTTTTGTAAGTGTGCGCTTTGTGCGGCCAATATAACTAGCAGATGAATTTATAAACACGCATTGAAGTGACCCAAAGTGACAGTTTATCCTTCACGTATCAATTGATCATTTGTCGGCTGTAGAAATTGATCCGTAGCTCAGCTGTAAACAATCTCTGTGTGTATGTAATAAACTAATTAATCAGTTAACATTTTCTAGACTAATTGGAAGGTTGTACATTGCGTTACATGTGAATATAATATTTTCTTGATTAACTGACTTGTACTATTCATTATAACTGAGTACACATCAGTATTTTGTATGTTATGGTTAACATCATTTTTTAGCGACATAACTGTTGTTAGGTTACAGGATTTCATCATGAGCCGACATTGGTTAAAGTACCATAGGAAAACTTGGGAGTACTGAACAGCTGTTTCGTCAGCCTAGTTTGGTACTCTTCAGCAGTACGCACCCGCTCGGGTTAGAATTCAGGACCTTCTGGTTACAAGGCGAGGTCGTAGACCAGGTTTTCCAATGACTCTCTAACCAATATCAGCTTATGATGAAACCCTGTAGCTAATCAATCAAATGCCTACAAACCAATACTTGAATAACTATTGATAATAACTGACTACTATTCACTCTTTAAACATGTATATGTATTGTTTTCTGAATTTCAAAATGAATAGGTCAATTTATCAAAGATTGCAGTCAGTAATTTGCTAGGCGGTATCGGATACTTTTATGGCTCTTCTTTGATTCGTTCTGAAAACATTGGTCCTGAACCTGTACATAATTGGGCAGCTGGTTTATTTTCTGCTACACCATCTCGACCTAACTTTCCTCGAGGATTTTTATGGGATGAAGGTTTCCATGGTTTAATTTTAGCTCGTTGGGACCCGATTCTCGCTATGGAAACAGTTGGTTCCTGGCTTGATCTTATGAATGCACACGGTTGGATTCCTCGTGAACAGATCTTAGGTTGGGAGGCTAGATCTCGTGTTCCATCTGAATTTATTGTCCAGTCGGATGTGGTTGCCAATCCTCCATCATTGATTTTGACTGTTGAGGTATGTTATTTTTGTGAACTTTTTTATTCATGTGATGGGATATCATGTTCCTCGGATTTCTTTGGGAAGACTGTCCAAGTATGCAGTTCAAGTGTATTAGTGGCGAAATAAAATTTTATAAAGAAGACAGTTCTTCTTTTCCATAGGCTTACTGTTTGCATCAGAATGTAAATGGCAATCATTATTTAAGGAATCACGATACTGATACTAGTTGCACAGGTTGAAGTAAGTGAAGTGCATTTCGAACTTATTATCTATTTGGTATTAATGAGAAATTCAAAGCAACATACTTTTGTAAACGTAAATCGCTGCATTATTTACTGATTACTATACTGAAGTCGATTCCATGAGATTTAGCAGCTGTTTTTCTGATGGTTGGGAAAAAATAGGTGGTAGCTCAGTGGATATAAACATATATGGTCGAAATTAATACGGAGGTATTGAAAAGTGTAAACAATTTTGATTGGACATTAGTAACTAGTGCAAAGTGTCTAATCCTTTCTTTGATGTCGACTGAATTCTATCAGTTACGTTTGCAATGTGGCCCCCATTCTAGGTAGCTCTCCATCATGGTGCCCACTGATTTGATGATATTGGATAGTTAGAGGCAATCGGCCAAGAAGCCTTGCTTGACCTAGGTTTCGTGCTAGTTGAAGCTCACCAGTCAGTCAGCAAGGCGTATCTCCAACTACCTTGAAGGAACTCATGTCCCTTCTGAGATTCGAACCCGCGTCACCCAGTAGCGCCTGCAGTCAAAGACGTTACCACTGAGCTATTTGGCGTGGCTCGCGATTGACCTCCTGTAGGACTGTAGTGGGTATTTTGATTGGACACTAGTAACTAGTGCAACGTGTAAACAATGTGATGAAATTGAACAGATAACGGATTTCGGATGAAATATTTTCACAGGAACAAATTTCATTTATTTTTTATTTAAAACATCATGGGCACTAAGAGATGGACCATTCAACAATAATAAAACAACGATATATGGAGAAAATGGGGAGAAAATGAATGAGCGACGTCATCCAGAAAGCAAACAAGCATATTTATCAAGATCATTGAACATGTATCACTTGGTTCTGCTTTCGGAAAGGGAAGAAATAAAGAAACTGCAACATTTTCGTTATTGATTGCGACTCTTGGGCATATCTGTTAACTTTCCGAGCCAGCGGTTTTGAACCATGTTACTTCAACCAGGGAGTCACAATGTACCAGACAATGCTAAGCTAACACATATACTGTTTATCCCAATATGCCACGTCGTAGGCTGACCACCTCTCCGCTATTTCCGTCCAGTCTTAGAGCTAGCGAACAAAAGCCTCTTGGCATCTAAAGAGTAGAGTAATTAAGCTACTTTTTGAATAATATTCAAGTATTGGTTTTGTAGGTATTTTGTTTGATTGGATGGAGGATTTTATCATGAGCTGACATCATTTAGAGAACCACTGGAAAACCTGAGAGTACTGAAGAGCTGTTTCATCCGTGTTTGGGACTCTTCATCAGTACGCACTCAGTAGGGTACAGCAGATTGAAGATGAGGCAGTAACTCATCAAAGAAGATATTGTGAAATGGTCGCGCTATGTCTTGAATTGGCAGAAGCTAGAATTCATGGGCCATTGGTTCGGGTCGCAGTGGCTCAATGGTCCACTAGGTCGCCTTTTAATCAGAAGGTCCTGGTTTCAAACCGAGGCGGTGGGTGTATACTGCTGAAGGGTCCCAAAGTGGGATGAAATAACTGTCCAGTACCCCCCAGGTTTTCCAGTGGATCTCTAACTGATGTCAGCTCATGATGAAATCCTCCATGCAATTAAATATAAATGCGACTGTACAGCCTCTAAAGATGATTTCGTCGATAAAGATTAACATTTATGCACAAAAGTTCTCAAAATGTTTGAAAAAGGTACTAATTTTATGGTTTTGCCCACTTACTACTTTATTTTCCTCTCAGTTCTCTATTAAGGATACTTATTTCTCATTTGTTGTTTTGCATCATTTGTGTAGGCTTTATTAGATCGTTTCCCTCGATTAACTGCTTTCGAAGCTAGCGAGTTTCGTCGTTGGTCTATGTTGGCACTGTCCAGATTACATGTTTGGTATCGTTGGTTTAATACCACTCAAATAGGTCCTGTTCCTCTGTCATATCGTTGGCGTGGCCGAAATCCTGATGAAGTCCATCAGTTGAATCCTTTAACATTAAGTTCTGGTGAGCGCTTTGATAAAGCTAAAACACTATGAGATGTTATGCTATTTTTTCAATTGTACTGATCATATTGGTGTTAAAGAGATGTGTTCACGTAGATATTGGTAACTAATAACTTGGTTATACGATGGAGATTAGTGAGTGTTGATGAAATGGATATTTAAGTGTAAACTTTACACTGAGCTACACATTTTGTTGAGAATAAAACTGTAGCCTTTTGGTTTCATTTTACTCTCATATTAACTATGTTTATTGACGGTTTATAATCAACAGAAGGTTAACGGGTCGCAATTCGCGATTTAGTAGGATTATTCGATTATATTCATTTTTTTTATTTTTTTTAAACAAATATTTATTCTACAGAATTTATTATGTTCACTTTATACTATTTAGTAGCTTTTCGTTTTCCATTTGTTATCAATATCCAATGTGAAGTCAGTCCTACTATACGGATCAGAGACTTGGTCAGTGGGTCATGAAGAGCGTCTCAAACAAACTACACACCTTGATCAACAGCTGTCTTCGCTCAATACTACTGAAGATCAGATGGCTGGCCAGAGAAGATCAGCAACAGGGATCTCTGGGAGCAAACCAACTAGGAACCGATTGTGCAACAAATATGCAGGAAGAAATGGAGATGGATTGGCCATGCTCTGAGGGAACCATCAAGTGACATCACTAGACAAGCCATTGCTCGAGTGGAACCCCAAAGGGAAGTGGCGAGTTGGTCGTCAGTGTGAGGGTGACTTGGAGGAGGTCATGTGAAAAGGAGCTGAAAGCATATGGGCAGACTTGGAGCCAGGTGAAAACTTTAGCAGAGAATCGAACGCAGTGGAAATGTGCGGCTGAAGTCCTATGTTCCTCTAGGAATTAAAGGAAATAATAATACTTTGGTGTGATAAAGGTCTAGCTTTTTTCCGACCTTGTAGTTCTTTTTGGAAGATGGCGCCTCAACATATATAATACACCTCCTAACCAACACAATTTACCCTTGTTAAATAAAACTGTATTCCCAACTTCCGTATTTCTGACTATATTAATTACTAAACCTAATACAAGTAACTAAACCAAGATACCTATGATTAGAAACACCTGCAGTCTTTTTATAACTTCAACTTTCAGCAGCCGTGTTTCGCATCTGTGAAGAAGTTACAGTACACACGTCGTCCTTTGATAAGTATCAAAATAAATATATTTACGTGAAAATGAAAGATCAAACTCGCATTGTGTATCCACGCTAAGATTGTGATCAATCGACTCTGAGGTTGATAAAACGTCCCCAAGAAAAGTTGAGCGGGCAATACAATAGGCCATTTTATTTGTCCCGTTTATTGAGAGTTTTCTTCGCAGTCGAACTTTGACTCACTGTCTCTACAAAACTAGTTATTCGAAAAGATGTTAAGAATAATTTGTCATAGTTTCATTATGTAAACACATGCTGTTTTTATAATTTCATACACTTATGAAATCCAGCAATCTCCAAATATATATATATATATATATATATATATATATATATATATATATATATAAGCTGTGATTTTATAAATTCTGGTTTAATTCTACTTTGGCAAAGTTGTTAGCATTGAATAATTAAGCGGCGAAGCCGAAGACATTGGCTAGAAATTGCGCTATGTCACGAATTGGCAGAAGATAGAATTCATGGGCCATCGAATTGGGTCCAGTAGTTTAACTGTCTGTGAACTCGCCTAGTAACCAGAAGGTCCTGAGTTCGAACCGTGGCGGTGGGTGCGCACCGATGAAGAGCCCCAAACTAGTCTGACTAAACAGTTGGCTGTCCAGTACTCCCTGCAGGTTTTCCAATGGTTCTTTAACTGATGTCAGCTCATGATGAAATCCTGTAACCAGTCAGTGGAATCTGCACAAACCAGTACTTGGATTACAGTGGTTAGTTCTTCAAATGATTCACTAATCATCATTAGTGCCTAACATTCATTGCTAAAGACAAAATTCATCCTACATCGTTTGTCGTATAACTTGTATGACGTGGGACTAAAGAAATAATACCTATTTACAAAACTCATCAGGTTGAATCCATTGAAACCAAGAGCTGTGTAGATAGGGGGCATTTCGCTCCTTGAAATCACTCGTAGGTCCTTGTTGGGACCACCTGTTCTTATCTGTAGTACCTTTCATACATGACTGTAAACGTTGAGTTGTATTTGAACTTTGCTACTACATCTTCCCTGATATCTTTTCTTTCTGTCGGCACTCTCGGCCCATCTGTTACATCAACTGTTTCATCCTTTTTTATTCTGTCTCAGGATTGGACGACTTTCCTCGTGCTTCTCATCCAACTAGCGATGAACGTCATATTGATCTACGTTGCTGGATGACTTTATTTGCTCGTGTAATGGCTAGATTGGCTTCTGTCGTTACCCAGTTCATGCAGACAGATCAAAGTGGGACAAGTCGATCTAAACTGGAAGAAATTCGTCCACTGATTGCTGAATATACTCGTTGGGCAGATTTACTATCTGACCAGAATGAGTTGGATAGGCTACACTGGTCAGAAAAGCTTGGTCGATATGCTGATTATGGTTTACACACTGATTTTGTTAAATTACAAGTTCCTGATACGCCTCCAGGCGGTCAACATACTGCCAATAAGGTAGCGATTTCACGTGGTCGCATTCGCTTTTATGTAGTTTCTGCATTGTGTATTTCTGTCCGTATAGGCATAAAAAGCCTTATATATATATAGGTCAAACAGTTGAGCTGCTTGATAAATGTAGCACCAGTCTGTTTGTTAAGTTTCATGTAATTTTTTTTGTGTGTAGCTTACCATGTACTGCGTAAAACCTCATACTTGATGGTTTGTACAATTCGACGTATCAGTTAGACAGTTGGTTGTATCTGAGTGCTAGTTTACAGTCTTTGAGCACTTTCGAGATCTTTGATAGATTGATTCGTTAGACTCACCATCTTCTCTCCTTCTTGACATCTAATCATGTAACTTATAGATGAGTGAACACAACTCAAGTATCTAAGTAGTTTGACAGTGGAACACCACAATCCAGTCATCCCTTATATAAATAATGACTGGAGATGTAGTAGTAGTTTCATGTAGATCCCATGATTTCCTCATTTGTGCCTTTTCAGGAGAATGTTTTTACGAGTTGATCACGGGTTGATATCAGTTAGAGAACCATTGAAAACCAGGGAGTACTGAACAGCTGTTTTATCCTAGTCTGGGAATCATCGGCAGTACGCACCCACTGGGATTATAACCCACGACCTTCTGGTTACAATGCAAGCTCGGATACCATTTAGCCACTGGGACCCGATTCAATGGAAACCTCATGAATTCTAACTTCTACCAATTCGTAACCCAATGGTCGTGATCAGTGAGGTCCAATTAGATGTCACGTGTATGGATGGATGTCCCACCAACGACAATGGTTGGGGTCGCGCCAAATCACAAATTGGTAGAAGTTAGAATTCATGAGGTTTCCATTGAATCGGGTCCCAGTGGCTAAATGGTATCCGAGCTTGCATTGTAACCAGAAGGTCGTGGGTTATAATCCCAGTGGGTGCGTACTGCCGATGATTCCCAGCCTAGGATAAAACAGCTGTCCAGTACTCCCAGGTTTTCCAATGGTTCTCTAACTGATATCAATACGTGATCAACTCGTAAAAAGATAACTAACCCTTACAAACAAAACTATAGAGAATGTTTTTATGGTTATCCCTAGAGAATAATCTACTGGAAGGTTATCTTTGGTCTTTATTTGCATAAAAAAATGAATGGATAACACACTACTTGTGACAGAAAAATATTATACTGTTGAACTCCATAGCGTAATAATTAACGGAGTATGTATATACTTTGCTTTATGAATATCTACAAAACACAAAATGATTGAGCAAAGAATATCCTTTTCGATAAATTCCTCTTCTGGCTCTACAATTACATATATACGCTTATATGCATAGAATATTCTAGAATAGTAGTCAATAACAATATCAGTGCCTTTTAAATGATATCGATTTGTAAATTAAGATGAATGGAATTACAGCTCATTGAAGATGCTTAAATTATACTAATAACTGTAAAGATATAATAGCAAATAGAATACCAACTAAAATTAAGAAAATTCCACAAAAATCCAGGATCATTCAAATCTAGATGGCCAAGGTAGGTAATGATAATGTCTGAACTAACTAAGCACAAATTAGGCTTATTAATATGGATCCCAACAGCCAGTTTCAGCGATATTTAGTAGCCGAACGCTTAAGGCAAAATTCAGATTCGTAGGTATGCGGTAAATGACTCTGAAAGCATGGTTAACGTCAGTCTTGTGTTTTATATCCACAAGACGAGTGAGATGAAATAGCGCTCCGAATAGATTTTGTTTGCCTTTTGCTTAACCACGCAGGCTGGTGTGCAAACATTTGACGAGAAACACGCCTAACTGTACGGCCTATGTAACTAACTGGCTCCACAGGAGCAGTTAAACTGGTAGATACACATGGAAGAGGCGAAATTAGGCAGTTTGTCTTTTACTCCCGAACGCAAAAGAGGAGTGTGTGCTCCTGTGTTACATAGGCCAGTTACATAGGCAGTAAAATTAGGAGTGTTTCTCGTCCAATTTCCGAACATCACCCTGCGTGGTTAAGCAAAGCACAAACAAAGTCTATTCGCAGCGCTATCCTACCTATCTCACTCGTCTTGTGGATACAGATCACAAGATTGACGTTAACCATGTTGCTTTCAGGGTCATTTATACCGCATACTTATGAATCTCATCTTTGCCATAAGAGTTCAACTAGTAAATATTGGTGAGGGTGGCTGTTGGGATCCATATTAATAAGCCTCATTTTTGCATCGAAAAGAAGTTGGTTCAGACATTTTCATTACCTACCTTGGCCATCTAGGTTTGAAAGCTGCTCAATTTTTGTGGAATTTTCTTAATTTTAGTTGATATTCTATTTCCTACTATATCTTTATTATTATTTAAAACAATTAGTTCCCTTTATTATTTAAGCATCCTCAATGAACTTTCCATTGATCTTACTTTACAAATCGATATTATTTGAAAGACACCAATATTGTTATTGACTCCTATTCTAGTATATTCTATGTATATATAATTTTTTTTCCTTCACTTCCCTCTTTGGAACATATGGCTTCAAGCTGGTGGCTTCAAGTTTCTGTAGCAGTGTTTCTTTTACAGGATGGGGTTGCTAGTCTTATGCCCAACCTTTCTTCTTTAACAGCATTATATCTGATTTAGCTGGGTAAAGGAGTGCGTCGGTTGGGAATCGAACCCGAAACCATGTACGTAGTCGGCGAGCGTCCTAACCGCTATGCCACCAACGCACTCTGTGTATATAAACATATATATATATATCGTAGAGCCAGAAAAAGAATTTATCGAAAAGGATATTCTTTGCTCAATTATTTTGTGTTTTCTAAGTCTAAATAAATATTTTTGGTATTATGAATACCGCCTTACAATACAAAGGCATCGTGTTGTCAGCCACAGTCGTCATACTGTGAATAATGTGTAATAGTACAACAGCGGTTTCGATTGCCACAGATAAGTGATTCATGCAGTTTTCAACTTGATTTGTTGGTTTTCATGGTTTCCATTTTTTTTTTTGTTTATTCTTTTTCTAATTCTACGTATTAGTATTGTGAGATTTTTATTTTTTGCATTTTTTGTTATACAGCAAGCAAAACCTATACGAGTAGTTATGGAACCTCCATCATTGCAATTAGTATCCAGTTCATTTGGATATGTCAATTTATTTCCACTTCTTTTAAGAATTCTTTCACCGACATCACCACGGCTTCCACGTCTATTGGCTGATCTAAGTAACAAAGATTTATTGTGGTCTAACTTTGGTCTACGTTCAATCAATACAAAATCTGCGTTTTACAATACATACAATACTAAAGATGATCCACCTTATTGGAGAGGTGCTATATGGATAAATATGAATTATTTAGCTGTTCAGGCTTTACGTTATTATTCTCATCATCCGCATACACCTACACATGTTGCTTCAGAAGCTGGACGATTGGCTGGAGAGTTGACACAAAACTTGGCACGTACTGTATTGGGTGAACTCGAGAGAACAGGTTATTTATGGGAACAGTATAACGATCAAACTGGACATGGTCAACGTGGTCATCCATTTTCGGGTTGGACGAGTTTAATCAGTCTTATAATTAGTGATAGTTCTTAATTTGTTTTTTAGGTTGTTTCTTTTAAAAAAAAATGTAATTTGTATAATTTATGTACCAATGTGTCTTGATGTTGTATATCCTTTTTATTCATATTTTATTTTCATGTTGTCACAGCATACCTTCTGTTCTCGTATGTATTTTTCCTATGAATATAAATTTGTAGTTTTAGAAATAGGTGGTTCTATTTGCGAAAATACTTTTATATGGATGAAATGCTCACTAGTGAACGGTCGTATTCAGGTAGGGGTTCTATTGGGAGGACAAATACTCGCCGAAGACATTGGCTAGTGGTTGCGCTATGTTGTGAATTGGCTGGCCATTGTATCGGATCCCAGTGGCTTAATGTTCTACGAGCTCGCTAGCCTTGTAACCAGAAGGTCCTGAGTTCAAACCCTGGCAGTGGGTGTGTGCAGCCAAAGAGTCCCAAACTAGTCTGACGAAACGGTTGGCTGTCCAGTACTCCCTGTGGGTTCTCCAAATGATGTCAGCTCATGATGAAATCCTGTAACCAATCAGTCAAATCCCTAAAAACCAATATTTGCATACTTTTATATCAATTCGATAATATTATAATTTTACTTTATGGCATAAATGGAGCATTTATTGTGATATAGTGCCGAATAATGACTAATTTGTTCAGTATATACTAATGGTTGTTATAGCATTCGATTAAATGTAAGACAGTTCCATATTGTCTACATATTCCACTCTGTCTTCAGTAGTTCATATGAGAAATGAAGTCCAACTTGCAAAATGGACACTTGTTTGTTATAAAGCATAGTTGCTTTTTACGCTCTAGACATTTTTGATGATTCACGTATTTAATCTAACTTAAAATATAACAATAACGTGGAAGAGAACAATACAAAATAAGTCACGAAGTCTTGTAATGTAATTACGAACAATAAATTAAGCTAGTAAACATAATATACATTTAGAAATAATAGATAGCTGGAGACAATTGGCCACAGGAAGCCTTGCTCGATCTAGGTTTCGTGCTAGTTGGAACTCACCAGTCAGCAAGGCTTATCTGCAACCTTGAAGGAACTCATGTCCCTCCTTCTGAGACTCGAACCCGCGTCACCCAGTGAGGCTTCAGTCAGAGACGTTACCACTGAGCTATTCGGGGTGGCTCGCGATTAACCTCCTGGCCTTGCTGACTGGTGAGTGCCAACGAGCACGAAACTTGGGTCGAGCAAGGCTTCCTGTGGTTGATTGCCTACAGCTTTCCAGTATCATCAAATCAATGTGCACCGTAATGGCAAGCTACCTAGAGTGGTGGCCACATTACAAACCTGACTGATAGAATTCAGTCTGCACCGAAGAAAGGACTAGACACGTCGCACTAGTTACTAGTGTCCAATCAAAATACACTTTATATATATATTAAGGCAAACATCTTAGAACGTTTAATCCCACTTCTAGGTTATGGTAGACGCATGTGGATGATACACTGACTGAGTTGAAATCTGAAGATATCCCTCATTTTCTTTCGCAAATATAATAAACTCAATAGTAGACAGAATCCAGTTCACTTTTGAGCTAGAAAACGAACAGGGTGAGTTTGCCATGCTTGACTGTCGAATAAAAGGATAGTGGGTTAGATACTAACATTTATACGAAACTGATGCATTCTAATAAATATCAGGACTTTAATTCTTACCACCCAGAATCGGTAAAAATAGGTGTATTTAGATGTTTTTGTAATCTGACCAAGAGCCTAACTGGTAAGCCAGAAGATTTATATAATGAAATCAAACAGATAAAGGTAATATTACTAGGGAATAACTACCCACCAGAATTTATTCAGAAATATGGATAAAGACCCGTAGAAATAATCAGATTAGTAATGAAAATGTCGGCAATAATATAGAATTCTAAACCTCTGTATTACTGCCGTAAAAAGAAGCAACGTTAGAGGCCTTACATGGCACTCTCAATGAGGTTGGAATTAGGGTGGCATTTGAACCAACCAACTCTCTCTCTAAGAGATAAACTTAGTTGTTTCCAGGACCCAATAGATCCAATTAAGAAAAATAATATAATTTACTAAATACCATATAATGACCATGGGGTCAATTATATAGGTCAAACTAGTAGATCGGGGTCGATAAGATGATCGAAGCATAGGAATCTGTCTAGATCTAGAATAATTGAGACTGAGAAGTTAAATAATCTAGGAAAAAGCTCAGCCACCGCATAGGACTCACTTTCATGTAATCACAAAATAGGTTGGGTGGGACAGGATGAGATCTACTTGAACTCATGCAGCCAGGTGAGGGCTTACGACGAGTTGTCATCTGAACTGGTGACGACTAGTGGTGTCCGTGAGGGATGCCCATTATCTCCATTTCTATTCAGTTTCATCATAGATGTACTAATGGACTTAACCCTAACTCTCTTCAAAGACTCAGGGATTGACTTGCTACCATCAGGGAATAATCTCGTTGACTTAGAATATGCAGACGATATAGTCCTTCTAGGCAAGGACGGTGACAAAATGCAGAGTCTTCTGAACACCTTGAGCAGTGAGCAATCTACGAATGTTTGGCATGCGATTCGCTCCCGCCAAATGTAAGATGATGTTACAGGACTGGACTACTCTGACTCCTAGTTTAGAAATAGGGAGTGAAGTGGTAGAGCACGTTGACCGTTCCACTTATTTGGGAAGTATCAGCATCCCCAACGGGTTGATCTCTGACGAAATCTCGGCACGGATACGGGGGCTCGTTTCGCATATGACAGTTTACGCCGTCTCTGGCGTAGACGAGATATTCGACTATCGACCAAAGTGCGGGCGTACTGCTCATCAGTCTGCTCCGTCCTCCTTTATGGTTGTGAGACCTGGCCACTGAGAGTGGAAGACATGAAAAGACTAGCTGTCTTTGATTACAGCTGCCGGCGTTCTATCTCCTGTGTTAGGTGGTGGTATAATAAGGTGAGCAATATTGAGGTTAGGCGTCGAGTTCTAGGTAAACAGGGGAAATCAATCGACGAAGTCGTGAAGTTACAAAGACTGAGATGGTTAGGACATGTGTCACACATGCATGTCTAGTCATCGCCTTCCTCGACGAGCAATGTTAGCGGACATAGGGTCAGGCTGGAAAAGAGCTAGCGGAGGTCAAACCAAATCATTGCACCAGTCAATGAAATCCACGACAGTTAGTTTAAACCAGCCACGTAGGAAGGTGTAGACTTCCTGGTTGGGGTCCTCGGGACGGTAAAAACCAGTGGTTGGAAACAATTGGTGATATGGCTCAAAATCGTTCTCAATGGCTGGTGCAGATGCAACCACACCCTGTGACCTATGATTTCCAGTGAAACTATATTGTTCTTGGTTATTATCATTCCTTTGTCTCACACCTCTGTTTACTGTCTCTAATATTCATTTCTTCTACTTTCTTCTCTTGCTTTATGCGCTACTTGGAGTGTGGCGACTTGAACTGCCGCACATCGGTGAAAAGTTCTATGTTGAAAGCAGACAGACAGGGTGAGAGTATGGAAAAGTAATATATTTTGATGGAGAGTGGAATGTGAATCACTGAAGCTTTTTTTAATCGACTCAACACCGCACACGTGCAATTTGAATGACGCAACGCCTATACCGGAGATTTGGAAAGTGTTGACAAGGAGAAGTTGGAGAAAGAGAAAATATATATATATATAAGATCAAGTGTGAAACTGTATGACTAAACTCATATGATTATGAGCAGCAATAATTTATGCTGACAACGTCATCCAGTTGTCAATACTGCACCATCGCTGTGTAACATTTAAAATAAACTTATCTCCTATGGAATTACATTCTACCGCCACACTGCCCAAGTTCTACACTTTCATGAATAAACCTATCTGGATTATCTTGGATTAATTAAGATTTCTCTTGGGATAGTTTCCTCAAACAAGTTGATAAGTTTCCCTTACTTGGTGCATTTGAAACAGGCGTTGTACACCATGCATTAACTTACAAACAGCTTATAAATTTTCTGTTTTGCTTAGCAACGTGTAACATTGAAGACAGAGGAAGAACATATGCTGTCTGTCTTCCTTACAAGCAAATTGAAATTCATTTTTTGATATTAAACATATTATGGAGTTGTTTGTATCTGAGATAGTGAATCACCATTAGAAATAATTTGACTGGAATGTGTATTACCCACAACAAACTGGGATAACTCTCGATGGCCAATGTTGGCTGTAAAAGGGACTAAGTACTACTGGTAAGATTTGGAGTGATCAGATCAAAACAGTGACTGCTCTTTTATATTATGTGAACTGATTAATTTGATTGTCAACGTAGAATTTTGCTCAGAATTGGACCATGGAAATACACTTAGACTGTAATAAACGAAAATGTACGCGAGGAATAATAATTACATGAAGGGTAATGAGGATTTTTCAGAATTCGGAAGATCACAGGAAGTGAATACAACTACGGTGTTACGAAAGATTTGAGTTAGGTCGTTAACAGTATTCAACGATTGATTGTTTCCAAGGTTTCCAGTCATATGATCTACACCTTTATACATGACTCAAACTAACAGTCAAAGACTTCACAGATTGCGGCGTTTTTTGTTTGTCTGACTACTCCTGTCTCTTTTTCAGGATAATCCAATATCATGTTACATCCCTCGTTTAAAAAGACAGTGGTTCAGTATTTGTAACACGCGTCTCAGTCATCTGTATCAATGAAGCCTGATAACATGGTTAATTTACTTTCTATCACAGCCTAATTCTATACCCAACGTCTCTTCAACACCTATCATATTGTGCTACCTAGTATGAGAGACAAAACTGAAACATGCTTTGTCAATTATGATTAGCCTCTTCACATTTCCAACATTAAGCAGTCAGCTGTAAAGGAGAGCTTATCGAACTACTACTCGTAGATAACCGGATATTGCCCCTGCGCCAATGATGACGCAAGTTTTTGAATAACAAACCAACCTTTTGTATCTGAGCTAAGATTTCGTCAGCAATTAGTACAGTAGGGTTGATGCGACCCCGCCCCCCCTCCCCAAATAAGTGAAGTGATCAACATATTCAACCAATTAACCCTGTATAAATAACTCAGGAGTCTGCAACACCATCTTACGTTTAAAAGGGTGAGTCGCTTGCCAGATACTCTCAGATGTGTGCCAAATTATTGGCACAGTGAAACCATGTAGACAGCACAACTAGTATTCCATCATCATCGATATTTGGAATTTTTCACTAACCTCCATATGATTATGCATTCTACCATTGATTTCATTTGATTGTCTGTCTGTCTGTCTGGATTCAACATAGAACTTGGCACCGAAGTGCAGCAGTTCGAGTTGCTACGTTCCAAATAGCACACAGAGGTAGACAAGAAGATGAGTGGAGAGAATCAATAGAGTTTGACAAGTATGAGAGTGAAACAGAATGGGTTATGGTAGGAAGGAATATGAAAGATTACAGAGACTGAATTTGATTGTAGTACCATTCTACTTGTTTTTCTCATTTTTTATGTGTGCTTCAGTGATTTTCATTTTCCACCTACTGTAGATTCACCACATAAATACGATATTCATCTAAAAAGCACCACTCAGTTACACACCAATGATCAAAATAACCTGAAAGGTTGTTTTTAACTTCTCTGAAGTTTCTTTTACCTAAGCTGACGTAATCATATGTATAACGTCTGAAAGTTCTTATCTGCCTATTAAGTAACTCATTTCTGTTCTTTCCGCTTGTTGACGACTGTCTGCAAGCTCATCTAGTGGTGTAATTCACAAGTCGATATTGCAACGGTTGAACTGTATTATTATGAGTATTATTCCCTTGGGTTTCCAGTGAAACATACGGCTTCAAAAAACACATTTCCACTTTGTTCTGTTTGGTACTGTCCTCTTCATCTGGGTCGACAAATGTCCATAATCTCTCATCTTATCTCCTCTTACGATCATCCCCATGCCACACCCTCGCACTGACGACCAACTCGTCCATTCCTATATTGATTTCACTCAAACAATGGCCTGGTGCACCATATCATTCGGTGACCTCTTCAACGTATGCCCGATCCATCTTCATGCGTTTATAAACGCTTTGATTCTCATAAACTGGAAGATATGCAAGTGAAAAGAAACACGTTGGCAGAAGAAACATCAAAGAAAGGAATTCAGGTGAACATAGAGAAAACAGAGGTGATGAAGATTCCTGGCCGACAGAAACAGCAACAACAGCAGACTACAATCAGCATAAATAGGAGGAACCTGAAAGAAACAACCACCTTTACCTATCTACCTAACTGGGAAGCACCGTTTCAACTACAGGCCGATGGAACTGATGAGGATATCAAAGCAAGGATCAAGAAAGCAAGACAAGCTTTCATTACTCTCAAGTCTATGTGGAGGTCAATAGCATTAATCAGCATGAAAATGAAAATAAGATCCGGATTTTCAACTCCAATGTGAAGTCAGTGCTTATATACGGATCTTAGACTTGGCCAGGGCGTCATAAAGAGCACCTTAAACAAACTACAGACCTTCATTAACAGTTGTCTTCGCTCAATACTCAAGATCAAATGGTCAGAAAAGAGCAGCAATAGGGATCTCTGTGAGCTAACTAACCCAGCAGGAACCGATTGTGCAACAAATAAGCGGGAAGAAATGGAGATGGATTGACCATACGCTGAGGAAACCATCAAGTGACATCACTAGACAAGCCATCACTCGAGTGGGACCCGAGAGGGAGGCGGCGAGTTAGTCGTCAGTGCGAGGGTGACTTGGAGGAGGTTATGTGAAGAGGAGATGAAAGCATGTGGGCAGACGTGGGGCCAGGTGAAAACTCTAGCAGAGGACCGAACGCAATGGAGACGCGTGGCTGAAGCTCTATGTTCAGATAGGAATTAGAGGAAATAATAATGTAGTCACCTTGTGGTGAGAGCTGTTTCCTAGCCAAAATTGGTAGACAGCAATTTATGTCAATGTTTACGTCGCATATCTTGGTCATAAGGAAAAAAAACAAGAACAAAGACTAACTCAATAAACAATCACAGCAAACTTTGCTTGGACGGATACGATTCGCAGATATATGGTGGTCTGACCTTCAAAGAAACGGCTACGAAAAGACATGATAGAAGAACTTTCAGTGAAGAAACAACCAATCAGAATGCGCTGTTTCTCTGCTAATAATAACGAATAGTAATGTACATAAATATCTAAAGGTATCTGTTGATTTTCTCAATCAATGATATGTTCCCTGACCCTTGTCTTTTGTCGTTACAACCTGACTGAAAGCTTATTGATATAGCTAATAAGGCATATCTCCAGTGTTCCATCGTCGTATTCTAAACTGCATATAAGACATTCTAGGTTTGAACTATAGTTTGCGTGTACACAGCAATAACAGTTTTGAAAGAGCTCGTCGAAATTATAGAATAACTTAAGTTGGTTATTTTCTTAAAAATAAAATTAAAAAAAAATAAAATATCATATTTATGTGAGTATATTTACATAAATGAACATTGTTCATTTCATGTAACCGTACAATCATGTATTATTAAAATGGATTGTCATCATCTTTGACTTCTAACATGAAGTTGAAAGAAATTCAGTTATTCTTTCTTCCAGGGCAAAGTTTCAGGTTGTTCAACAGTGCACCAACATGGCACCAAATTTATGTACATTGAAATATATAAATTTATAATTCTTGAGATCTCTACTGTTTACTTTTACGTGTTTTGAGTCCACGAGCTTTAGATGTATATTCTCTACTAGTTATTGTAAACAGTCGCATAATTTCTTTCATCCCATCGTATTTAGTTCTTGTATAACTAATTTTTTGATTTTCAACTAATGATAAGGACAGCAGTATTCTATACAGGTCGTAAGGACTAAACTCACATTTCCTTCGCTTGCATATTGAATTAGCTAATGCTGGTAAACAGATATCAATGTATAAATCTAATGTCATACTTGAACGATGTTGACTAATCTTTTGAAATATTAATGAATGCATGGCGTGAAATTCAGTCTTGGGAATTTGTACACTTTTATATATTTCATATTTATGCAATAAATATATGGATTCAGATTCTCGTATAAAACCACAGATTAAACTACACTGATAAACATATGTGCTTAAAATAGACTTTAAAGCATCTCGTAATAATTCCTTGTCAGATAGTATAGTTGTGATAAAGCTCCCTTCACTTTGTGAAGTTTCATCATTTGTTCCACCGTGGGTTACAGAAGACGAAGTGGGGAAAGTACACGCGCTTAGTGTAGTACTGATTCCACTCGTCCAATTATTGTATGCAGACATTGTTGTAAATGTGTATGTATTTCACTATGAAATATAATGATTTTATCAAATCCTATTGATATGTGTTTAAATTATCACATGACAAATATATATATATATATATATATATATATATATATATAGTAATAAAAATTGTTAGTTGAAATGAAAAACTCAGCGAGGCGTTTGGAGTAAACACAGGAGTCAGACAAGGGTGCTTATTATCACCAATCAATGATATTCCTAATTGTGGTGGACTGACTGGATTATGCGTTAGACAGTGGGAAACCAGAAGACAGGAATATCCTGGACCGACGCGAAGAACCTAGAAGACCTGGATTTCGCGGGTGGATGCTTTGTGTTTGATGTCACACAAAATCGAAGACTTACAAGCGAGCGAAAACCGACAAACTGGTCGAAGAAGCAGACGGTGAAGACAGAACTCCAAGTGAACATAGACAAAACGGAGGTGATGAGAATAACCAACCAGCCAACAATAACAACAACAACAGCAGTAACATCCAGCGCTAATCACCATCGACAGGAGGGATTTGAAAGAAGTTACTTCATTCACTCACTGATCTAAAGAGCATCGCCTCAACTACAGGCAATCGGAATGGACGAGGATGTCAAATCGAGCGAGAATCGGGAAGGCGAGAAACACATTCATCAACCTGACTGAAACCAATCTGGAAATCTTCGTCACTCAGCCACCATCAACGACAAAATTCAGTTGGATTTTCAATACAAACGTCAAGTCAGTCAGTTCTTCTATAGGGATGGGAAACTTGGCGGGCAGGTCCCAAAGAATATTTCCAACAGCCTGATGCAGACTTTCATCAACAACTGTCAGCTATCACTCTAAACTGAAGATCAGATGGCGGGGCCAGAAAAAAGGTACTATAATAGTCGTTAATATAGCGTAAGAATTTTATAGTCCTATATGCTCGTTCAGCACGTGGCTTCTATTTCTTATTTATGTAGTTGTGTGGTCGTGATCCGGCTGCCACGGTCCCTATTTTTGCTTCTGGTTCACCGAAGAAAGGGCTCTCAAGTAGTTGCACCACAGGATGATTTTACATGCTAGTCTCGTCTCGCAAGAGACAGCGATAGGTGTGTTTGGTTCTCCTGAAAATCAATGCTCAGTCGACGGATGTATCAGTACTTGGCACAGCGGTAGAATACTCGCCAATTACACTGGTGGTTCGGGATTCGATTCCTGGCCGACACACTTCTTTACTTCGCTAAGCCAGTAATGAGAGGGAAGGTTGGACACGAGGCTAGCAACCCCTTCCCGTAAAAGTAAACACCACTGCGACAGAAATTCCAAACCTCTAGCTTGAAGCCCTGTATTTCTTTAGGAATGCAAATGGAAAATTAACGATTACGATAATAAAAGGAGAAATTTTTTCGATCAACATTTTCATTAATATACATTGGTACACAGTTAAGCTGAATGAATAACACATGTAGAATAGAAAAACAAAAATATTTCACAAGACAAAATCAAACGGTAAAAGGATAATTCGTTAATTCATGCAGAAGGCGATAATTAATCGGGTAGTAGGTTTTCGTCTACTTCTTCATCAGCAAATTCATCTTGTATAGGTCTGGAACGTGCTGCTGTCCTTGGTCTTTCAACACTTGGTCCAAGTGGATCATTATATACAATATTTTCATTTTCAACAGTTTCATCGAGTATTTCTGGTTGATTGCGGTCAATTTGGCGATTTGAATTATTTTTGGAACATGATCTCTTTGGCTGATAACTATGTCGACCATCATAGTTTGCACTACTTTCACGACTTTCACCTGGAATAAAAAAATGAAATAATTTTAAAAATTTTCACAAGTGTTGCTTAGAGAATAACCCTTACAAATATCCACATAAAAAGTATCCAGATAAATTCCTCCCAGTGTTCATAGCTACAGCTTTAACTGTAATCTCTATGTTTAATTCAGTTTTAGGCATTTGAAACTATGGACACAGGGTTCAAACCTCGATGGGAATACCATCACTCACTAGAGGATGCAGGTACATCCAGCTGACAAGTCCCAAATAGGAAAAAATGCGCATCCTGGATACTACTGCTAGCGACTATCCACCAATTGACCTTATGTAAACTTTACATTTTGATTTTCGTACACAAATGGATTTAATATTATGTATGTTCTGTAGAGAATTTTGATGAATATTTCCGGATACTAAATTGCCACAAGGTCACGTAATGATTGAATAAATCAAAATTGCGGTGCATTTTTATTTGGTCCCACATTTCTAAGATCAAAGAATAGGAAACTCAAGAAATCCACAATTTTTGAGGACAGCATATTCGAAACTTCAGGAAAATCCATATTGGAAACATTTAGTTCTTGGTACTAATTTAAAACAAGCAATATAATTCAATAAAGCAGGACTTCATGAATTCATCGAATTTCGGTAGAACTCCTCCCTTGGACACTCCACATACATTGGGAAATACATACGCCGTTAGAATTACATTTGGAAATATAATACGGATAGATGCATTAACAATACTGAATCAGTCACGCAAAACGACAGGTGTGAACGTTTTCAGTTCATGTTCAGGCTGATAAGGGCAAGGGATATATATACATATATATTCTTCAAAAGAATGAATACTGAAAAAAGAGTACTCTTTCCGATAACTTCATCATCAGGCTCTGCAGTTATATGTACATTATAGTGAATGAATGAATGAATTAGTGTTATGAACACCATCAATATTGTTTAAATAACATCGAATCAATAATATCAGTAGATTACAGTTCAATAGCATCAACATAAAATAAGCTGAATGTTAGAAAAATTAGAAAAGATAATATTACAAATTCATGAATTTCTAGTCTCTACTGAACGCCCTCAGGGGCAGTAGTAGTGGCTGGCTGAAATTGCTTCTTTTGCACACAAAGCACTGGTTGTTTCAGGCGAACTGCAAGCATGCGGTAGCTCAATGTTTTTGACAATTTATTGGTACCTGGTAGATAATGGGGAAGGATTCTGGAATTGTGGATGGCTTGTTTGAACCAGATGGTCCAATACCGAACTGTTAATGATTTTAACTACAACTTGACTTAGCCATACTGGGAGATTTTCTCGAGAGAGAACGAAAAACCAAGTTCCATAGAGCAACGGCTAATATAATTCGCTCCACAAGCGCAGTTGAATTGGTAGATACAATTTGAAGTGGCTAATCTAGGTACTTCAGTCGAGGTAGCACCATCGGTCGTGTAGAGAATCCAACGTGTAGTTCGCCAGCATCAAAAGTTCTTTGAACTGATTTTCTTAATTTTCTCGTAATTATCTCACTTGATATATCGCTCTTGAATTGTAGTCGTATATAAAGTGGCTTCTTGTTTATAGATAGTGAGTAGTCCTTTTTCGCTTTCTTTGTCATGTGTTTCTTGATAAATTTGTCGGAATGGCAATTTTCGATCAAAGTATCGTATACAATGTTTAATTCATCTTCAATTTCTTCTTCTGAGCATACAGCTGTAACTCTGTGGCTGAGGGTCTTTACTAAATCTCTTTTGTACTTAATAGGAATGAAGCTGTGAAAATGTGTATATTGTCCCCATATGTAGAGTACCCAGCTGAAGGGTTCTACCGAAATTTTGATGAATTCATTAATTTCTGCTATATTAACCTTTGCTGTGTCCATTAAAATCCATATTTCCTGTAAATGTTAAAACTTAAGCTATTCCCTACCAGTCTATTTGAATTACAAATAACCCACTAGGCAAAACTTAACCATGCACATGATATATATAAACATTTCCGCATAATTCTAAGTAGTCTGGTCTTGCATGAATATCTTTCATACTAAACGATAATATCAAAATTAAATATATATAGTCTATTAGAAAATCAATAACTACCCGAAGTGGCAAAATCAAGAGACAAACAAAAAAACCGTTACTAAATCTATCCAACTCTTCACCCATTGTAGTCGCCGACGCGCACACGCACACACACACACACATACAGACAGATACATTCCCCTTCATATAGATGTACACTCTATCAGCCTGCTAACATTATTCAAAACGCCAAGACAAACCTCATCTTAAAACTTTTATATTTTGTAAAAAATACACAACACCAAAATCATTAGGAAAATTAGCATAGTGAGTTATGTGTTTGATAGTTGTTTCGTCATAAAACAGTCTCCTATAATTGACTGATTTTTTTCCATCAAATTTTGTCTTAGCCCCTTTGATCACAGAAGACAGAAAATGTAACCAATGGAAATCGTTTAATGTGTGTACTTCCTTTCCTATTACCGTTCTCTGGAAATCGAACCTCACACGCGTATCCACTTAAATCAGTGTAATTCATTGTATCCGGAAATATTACTACTTGCAATAAACACCTTAAGTATGCATTCTTGATCTCAAAAGTGAAATGTCAGGGTAAATTTTGCTTTCACTCACCTCCACTACTAGCACTGGCCGAGTTCTCACGACTTCCTGTTGTCCTAGAAGAACCAGTGAGGCTGAAACGACGACGATTGGTTGCTGAAATTTGACGTTGTTCTCTTGCTTCTTTTATTTTCTCTGCACGTTTCAATTTGACTATATAATCTTGAGCTTCAGGCAAACCCATATCGGAACTTATTCTCACGAGAAATTGAAGACCTAAAAAGGTAAATGAATGTAAGACAAAATTAGTATTTGACTGCCTAAAACTTAGTCTGTTAATTTGTATTATTATTATTATTATTAATCCCTTCAAGTTCCCATTGGAACATATGGCTTCAAGCTAGAGGCTTGAAGTTTCTGTAGCAGTGGTGATTATTTTTAAAGGATGGGGCTTTATTTATGGCTTAGCGTGGTAAAGGAGTGCGTTGGTGACCGGGAATCGAACCCCGAACCATATGCATAGTCGGCGAGCGTCCTAACCGCTGTGCCACCGACTCATTCTATTAATTTTGTAGCATACCTATAAGCCATGTTCATGTAGAACTTAAGAAAATACGCTTCAATTTTTGTGGTATATCTGGTTGCTTTCAGCATATTTTAAAATGAGGCGTTAATGTTTACTCCTTTTAATAGTAAAATAGAGGTAAGTAAACATTTTATTCTTGCTTAGTAAAAAAATAGCAAAGGTTATAAAATGTTAAAATTTCATGGATTTAATTTTGGTGATTTTTACATCTGAATGAATTCACATTCTAAAATACTATTGGCCATGTACATCACTATTATTCTGAGTTAACGTAAGCGAATGAAACTGCTGCAATCAATGTCCTTCAGAATGATAAAATTCACTACCTTGAGATCATCCACGAAATGCCTCGAAGTTATATATGATGACATAAACATATTTTCGTCTATGTCTATCCTATGTTGTTGGTTTCTTTTTTTTATTTTCAGTTTGGTTTAAAAGTTAATAATCTAACTAATTCACCCTGAGGAGTATAACTAGAAATTGCAAAATCATGGCTATCTGAGTTTAGTTTCTCTACTGTCTCCAGACAGATAGACTGTCTGTTTTATTCTAAGAAGAAAACCCAATTCGAATGGTTGTTTAAGTACTGAGTATTAAGCATGCAGGATATTGCTGTATCAAGTAGTCTACTTGTTTCTGTGCTTAAATTTTGCTTTGTAACAAAATAATGAAGATATTGTAAAAGTTATCCCAACTACTAACTTTTCTTCTGAAAACCAAAAAGGGAATAAGTGGTATTAATATTATTATTATCATACAGAGGAACTAAGTTTTTGACACGAGTTTTTATAAATATTACCTTTTATGAATACAGCAGTATTTGAAGAACAATTTATGAGTCTAATTGAATTTTAGCTTTATCCCGTCGATTGATTGAACCGAAGTGCTCGGTCTCAGGTTAACATGTCGGCTTCTTGTGCGAATGCTTCGACGATGTCTGAGCATATAATCAGAATTTAATTGGTGGATGGTGACTAGCAGTGGAATTCAGCCAGGACACGCATTTCGTCCTATTTGGGACTTGTCATCTGGATGTACCTGCATTCCGCAGTTCATCCAGATGATGAGGCTCAAATAGGACGAAATGTGCTTTATCCTGGATTCCATTGCTAGCCACTATCTACCATTTAAATTTATGAGTCTATATGACTTTTAAGATAGTATTTTAAGACTGTATACACTACTGGTCTTACGATATGAATGTTTGCGGACATTATTGAAACAAAAACAAAGTATTTAAAATTTTTAATTGTCATGATGAATCACGTTTCTAAAAAATGAAAACATGTCACTTTTACTCCAAGGCAGATCAATATTTTTACTATCAATGGAACAATGCAGTCGTTTACAATCACTTAACAAATCAAATCAAATGATTAGATTTTGAGTTAGTTGATTGATTGACTACTCCTGAATACTACTATACCTGATAATGTGAAAAAATATTCATGATCAAAAGATAAGAAGAGTATTTCATTTATTTTTGTGATGAGTGTGTGGTTCCTACACTAACTTAGTGCACAAGCATAATTCATTGTTAGAAAAAGCTGTGATATTTGCGGCAAAAAAATATCAAGGGAAGATGTAAAACAGGATTTTGAGGGAACAATTGTTTTCGATAACTTCTTCTTCAGGCTATGCTGTTATAAATCTATGATTAATAGAGTACTTATAGCCAATAAAGGCAAATGAAAATAATATCAGAAACTGTATTGGGGTGCATGTGTAAGTTGAGATGATAGTCCATTAGTTAACATAGTCAATTAAATGCGTATAGGGTGTATAGTCAGAAAAATGTGATGAAGTGTGAATAAACAATTGGGTGATATAGTGTTGTTTTATAGTCAAGAGAATACAAGTGTCATTGGGGTGAGAGAAATGCTATAACCACAAAATACATACAAATACACATTAACAAAGGGGACACTGAATGTGAGGGCTGACCGATAATGTCTAATGATAAAATAAAGAGGCTAAATTGTAAATTGTAATAAGATATTACAGAATTGGTAGGCTTAGTATAAAATCATAAAGGCTGACAAAAATTAAGGGTAACAATGAAGTGAAGTAAACTGGGTGGAGAAATGGATAATAAAAACATGATATCACCAAATGAAAATAATGATGATAATAATAGTACGAAAAATTGTGATCCTGGTGACCTTATAGTGTGCCAGGGTAGACAAAGAGAGTGAATAAGTTTTTTCTGTACACATAGGTCTGGTCTCTCTCTATTATTCTCTAAAGCCTCGGCTATGGCTAGGAGGCGTAATCGTGTGCCTTTGGGGAGATTGTTCGGTACTCGATACACAACTGTCAATGACTCATCTACTTTGATGGTGTGTTCGCTGTCCATTAGATGAGACAGAATTGCACTATTTAAGGATTTGGCTGCTGTTTTCCCAAGCAAAACAGGAATATGTTCACGAGTGCGTAAAGGTAAATTCCTTTGGGTACGACCTATATAACTAACTCCACAGGAGCAGTTGAATTTATATACACACACTGATGTCACCATTTTGGGTAATCTATCTTTAATGCACGGTGTCAAAATCGGTTTCGTTGAGAAACTGACATGCAGTTTTTGCGGCATTAAAAGTTCTTTCAATTGATCTCGTCAATCTACGTCGGTGGTATAGCGGTTAGGACGCTCGCCGACCATGCACATGGCCCGGGGTTCGATTCCCGGCCGACGCACTCCTTCACCTCGCTAAACCAGAAGTAATGCCGGTAAAGAAGAAAGGTTGGGCATGGGGCTAGGAGCCCCATCCTGTAAAATAAACAGTGCTACAGAAACTTCAAGCCTCTAGCTTGAAGCCATATGTTCCATTGGGGAACGTGAAGGAAAAAAAATCTACGGTTTAATATAACGCTGGATATATCGCCTTTGAATTGTACATTTAAGTAATGCTTTTTCTTACTTACTGTGTAAAACTCAAAAATATTAAACTAACTTACATTCAATATTCTCTGGGAATCTTTGATGAATAAGTCGGTAGGTTTCTAAAGCTTGTTGATAATTTCCACTTCGTCGATGACAAGAAGCAATCATTAATTGCCATTTAATTTGATTTGGTCTAAAAGAAATTGCAAGAGATGAATTGAGTAAGTATCAACAATATATGCAGTTTGTTCTGATAAAATTTAATCATATTAAACGAATATCTGTCGAAACCTTATTAATTAAGCTTTGGTATATGTTGAAAAAAGAGAAGTGGCTTACAGTTGGATAGGGCTTCAGCAGCGCGTTTCCATTGCGTTCGTTTCTCCGAAAAAGTTTTCATCACCTAGCTCCACGTCTGCCCACATGCATTCATCACATGACCTCCTCCATGTCGCCCTCGCGCTGTCGACCAACTGATCGCTTCCCGTTCGAGTCCCACTCGAGTGATAGCCTGGTAAGCGATATAACTCACTTGATGGTTTGTTTTCTCAGAGTACGGCCAATACACCTAACTCCATTTCTTCCTGCTTATTTGTTGCACAATAGGTTCCTGGTTGACTCGTTCCCAGAGATCCCTGTTGCCGATGTTTTCTGACTATCTGATCTTCAGTATTGAGGGAAGACAGCTGTTAGTGAAGGTCTGTAGTTTGTTTGAGGTGATCTTCATGACGCGCAGTGCAAGTTTCTGATCCGTATAGTAGCACTGACTTCATATTGGAGTTGAAAATCAGGATCTTATTTTCATTTTTTATTTATTTATTTTTTATTTTTTTTTTATTTTTTGGTTACAGCTTGATTCAACACCGTATTTTTCGTACAAGTGTGGAATTTTCAGCGTGGATATCGGTAGCCCAAAATTCGCAGGCCAACCATTGATATCAGGTGTGCGTCGGCGTGGGCTCGAACCCCGGACCATGTGCATGGTCGGCGAGAGTCCTAACCACTGTGCCAGCGACGCACAAAAGCCTTGAGCCCGACGTGATTTCATTAGTAGTGCTGTTTACCTCCACACAAACTTGAGAATAATGAAAACTTTCCTTGCTTTTCCGATCCTCACTTTGATTTCCTCATCACTTCTGTCCGCCTGTAGTTGAAACGATAGTTCCCAGGTGGTTAAAGGAGGTTGCTCCTTTCAGACTGCTCCCATTTATGCTGGTTGTTGTCTGTTGTTGTTGCTGTGACTGTGTCTGTTGGCCAAGAACCTTCATCACCTCTGTTTTCTCTATGTTCACCTGAAGTCCTATCTTTGATGCTTCTTTTGCCAGCTTGTTGCTTTTAACTTGCATGTCTTCCAATTTGTGAGAAATCAAAGCTTTTATAAACGCATTAGTTAATATTTAGGTCTCAGTGTAACAGAGAAAATATCTTAAAATATAAATGTCAGAGAGTAATATGTCACACAAATAAGTAGTCAGCCGTCAGTATAAAGGCCAGGTATGCCTGACTTCCATAGTGTTTAAATTCCAAGGCAAAATATACAAACAAACTTAGGGAGTTGCCATTGAGTCACTAATATCCTTCGTACTGACAGATATATTCATGGATAGGTGGGAAAACATAGCGATTGAAACGTTTAGCCCTACCCCAAAAGTATGGTGGAGGTGTGAAGATGACACATTCACTGTACTTAGGACACACAATAGTTAAATAGATTTTCGAACAAATGAACTCACAGGTGGAGGCAATTCAATTCAATTATGAAACAGAAAGTCAGGAATGGGAGCTTCCAATGTTAGATTGTAGCATAAAAAGGAAAGAAGATGGGAAGTTAAACACTAGTGTGCATAGGAAACCCAGACATTCAAGCGGATATTTGGACTTCCGATTATCCTATCCTACGTCAATAAAAATAGGATTGGTGAAGTGTTTAAATAAGACACAAAAACTAACTAGTACTAAGGAAAATTTAAGACAGAAAGTGAGGCATATTAGAGAAGCTTTGAAACTTAATAATTACCCTGATAAATTATTGTCGAAGTATGTAGGGAAATGTAAAAAAAAGTAAATAATCGTAGTTGTGATAGTGATAATAATAATAATATTAATCAAAACATGCATGTCAAATATGCACAAGAATATAAATCATCAGTACTATTTCCATACAAAGAGGGAACCTTGGAAAATACCCTACAGAGAATTCTTAACAAGGCAGGAATAAAAGTGGCTTGCGTTCAACCCCACAAGTCAATTAGAAACAAGCTCTGTCGGCTGAAGTATCCTGAAAGTGGAGCCAATAAAACAAAACAATTTAGTCTATCCAATACCCAGCCTGAGAGGACTGTCAGGTCAAATACAGCGATCACAGTAGTAGAACGGGGTCAGTCAGACTAATGGAATATAAAAACCCAGTAGCAAAATCTAGAGTAGTTGACCCGAATAAGATAAGAAGTCTAGAGAATAGTTCAGCTATGCCACTCACTACATGCAAATACAAACAACCATACAATAGGATGGGATAAGATGACAATTTTGAAATCTAATGTAACACGATAGAGGGAGAGATCGATAACGGAACCTTTGTTTATCGAATCAGCTGCGAACCAAACGTGCAACAGGAATGATTCAACACCTGTCCCTGTTATCTGGAAAATTCTACTACCCTTACGACGACAAATAGAAGAGAACAAAAAAAACCATAAAACTCAAGTTTTGAAGTCGTGAGATTATAATTGGTTGATATGATTATGAAGAATAAATTTTGTTGGAAACGTCATCCATTAAATAATACTGTTTCACTTTGTGATACACCTAATAAACAAACTTGTATGGAATAACTAACCTTTACAAATCAAACTATAGAAAATTAATCTGATGCTCACTAGTAACTTGCTACAGGATGGAGCTTCCTGGAGTTCTAGTGAGAAGTCGTGACCAGTTAGTTCCATCCAGATTTCACGTGTGAGGATGTGTGTCCCACAGACGACATTGGTTGGGGTTGCGCTAATTTACGAATTGGTAGAAGTTGGAATTCATGGGCTAGCCATTGAATCGGGTCCCAGTGGCTGAATTGTCTACGTGATTGCTTTGTAACGGGAAGGTCGTGGTTTGGAACCCCAATGGGTGCGTACTGCCTATGATTCTCGAACTAGGATAAAACAGCTGTCCAATACTCCCTGGTTTTCAATGGTTCTCTAACTGATATCAATCCGTAATCCACTCGTAAAAACACAACTAACTACCACAATTCTCAAGTTTTAGACATATAGTAGCAGAAAACAGGAGCTTATAATAGGTAACTGCTGAAGTTGCCAGTCTTTTCATCTTTAATTTTAAACACACTTTCGATTTACAGTGGTCATTAGCTATTTGAAAGAGATGAAATAACTGAAACTTTTCATCTACTTGATTTTAATGTATGACACATCTTACAGGTGGATTGTCTTTACGTTTGAGCAACAAAGCATGGAACAATTTTTCAAGAATGAAGAAAAAGCTCACAAAATTGATTATATAGTGACTATGTAAAATAACGATGAATACTGAAGTTTTTGAAAGTGTCAGAGATGAATATTGGCAATTTTGCTCCATCTTTTCTAAAAAAAACTTAACAAGACTTCCAAATTTAGTTGGTGGATGATGACTAGCAGTGGAATCCAGGATGCGCATTTCGTCCTATTTGGGATTCGTCAGCTTGAAAAACTAAAATTTATTGAAAGAGTTCCAAATGTTTGAAACTTTCATATAACAGTATTTCAGAGTATTATATGATAGTCAGACATATTTTCTACGTAGTTTTAAAACTAAGGGTGAATCGTTTACTGCACAGTGTATCTGGCTTAGATATTTTGAAAGGATATTTTGTTTTCTCTACAACTCCATTGACATTGAAACTTCATACAGTTGCGTTTGTTGTAAAAGTTTATATATTGACCTCCTGTTAACTGTGAATGGAAAACCTGATAATCTTAGTGGCTTTTCCTACAAGCCATACGCACTACTTTTACAGCGATAAACATAATTCCATATTAGTTTGATTATTAAATGTATCACACAGTGAAACAGTATTGTATACTGGATGACGTTTCGAACACAATTTATTGTTCATAATCATATCAATTTTTGTCACACGACTTCGAGATTTGATTTTTATAGTTTTCTCTGTCTTCTCCTATTTGTTGTATGGGCAGTAGAATTTTCCATATATCTGGGACAGGTGTTGAATCATTCCTATTACATGTATTTGCAGTTGATTCGATAAACAAAGCTTCTGTTATCAATCTCTCCCTATACCCTGTGACATTAGATTTTAAAACTGTCATCCTATCCCATCCTATTGTATGGTTGTGTGTAACTGCATGTAGTGCTATAGCTGAACTACTCTCTAGATTTCTTATTTTATTCGGGTCAACCAATCTAGATTTAGCTAGGTTTTTATGTTCGGCTAGTCTGACTGCCCCTGTTCTACTAGTTTGACCTATGTATTTGACCTCACAATCATTGCAGGGTATTAGATAAACTAAATTGTTTTGTTTTAATGGCTCTACAGGATCCTTTAACCGATCGTATTCATTTACAGTTCAAACGGTAGGTGGACACGTGTTAAAGATCACATACATGTCAAACTTTATCGTTTCTATTGACGGTCGCAAAGTAATATTCCTGTTCACTTTTGTGCCCGAGTTACGGCGAAAAAATTTTGGCTCTAATTTTCTGCGATTGTTCGGTGTGATAACTAACACGAAGAAGAGGACAGTGATTATGAAATATATAAATACTTGTAAATATTCGTGGTTCAACAGAATCAAGCATTTGTGGGTTATTGGTGACTGAATGATTCCATCTTCAGATCGCAAACTGAAGTTTCATGGATTGGATTCCCGGTGCGACCATAGGTACTCAAATGCGTACTTCTAAAGAAACTGAAGCCTTCCAGTTCTCCCTGGTTTTCAACACTTTTCTGGCTGATTTACCTTCATAATAAAACCATCTTTTAAGTGTCCGCTTTAACTGATGAAATTTCACAGTCTTATTAGTCGACTTCCTAATTTTATCTAGTAAACTATGTCTCGTGGTTTCACTGTTCATGTACTGATTTCCGAAATCAAAATATCCTACTAAAATGAATATAATCTTAAACTCAAGTGTGTGTGTGTGTTAATATATGTGTAAAACTTGGGCACTGTGGTATTAAGTATGTGTGTGTGTGTGTCACGATAATTCAATTATTGAACGTATTAAGAAGTAGTGAATTAATCTCCCATCCAATAGAAGTTATTATATTCATAATGTTGATAACTATCTACAGACCAAATTTACAACATTTTCATTAGACCTACGTAGTTTAATAATTCATACTGAACTGTGTTCGTTTCTAAATAGGAGAAGACAGAGAAAACTATAAAAATCAAATCTCAAAGTCGTGTGACAAAAATTGATATGATTATGAACAATAAATTGTGTTCGAAACGATAAACATAATTATTAAATTATTTGAATGCATATTTATATATATAAGAATCAACTTACTGCATTAAACTGGCACGCTCAAAATAGGCTACAGCCTTCTCACAGAACTGGGATTCAATATAATAAGCACCTAACCATTCGATTACATCAAAATTGCATGGATAGTATTTGAATGACTGAAATAAAAATGTATTGTGTAAGAAGGCGATAAATTTACAATGAAGCTTCATATATAAGTAAAATTAAATTGCATAACTTTAAAATTACTTACTTATTCCGCTCTCTTAAACAGATGTAAACAATCACTCACTAACTGAATGTCTCTTGGTATGATCAAAAATGTTTCGGTTGTGAGAATGAATAGTGTATTGTTGCTTATTTCATCTCAAACCATACATGTTTATGTGAATTTAATCAATGGAATTCATGAACAGGAATATATAATAAAATTGACTAACCAAATAATAACAACACTTCTGTGATATTTCTCATATCATAAGATATTTAATTCAGTAACTTAAAAATCCCCGTTGAGTCATATGAAAAAAGAGAAGACGTTCAACGAAGAGACTGTTTTCGGTGAATTCATTCACATAGCTGTAAAATCGCATTTATATATAATTATGTTTTTTTTGTGTGTGTATGTGAGGTTTGTTTAGATAACTAATCAAGTAATACAAGAATGATCTAATAAAGAAACACTGTTAATCAGACAGCAACTAAAGTAAGATTGAGTTAGCAAGTTAGATGACGTAATATAATTGACTAAAATGTTTCAACTTAGGTCAGGTTAGCAACAGAGGTAATTACAGATAGAGACTAAGTAAAAGTGGGGTAAAGAATAATGCCATTTAAATTAGAACTAAAATTGAGCAAATAAGTTGGATGACGTAACATAAATCACTAGAAATTGAGCATTGGTCAAGTCGGTAACAGTGGTAGTGAGGTGTAGAAGTTAAATCGGGTGGGGGTAGAGAACAGGAAAGTTGAAAATGTAAAATATTACAGTTGAAAAGACAAATTAATACTAATGAAGAGACAGAAGAAAAAGGTTAGGTAGAATTTATCTGTCGGATAATAAGATAGATTACGTCCATTGCAAGTGTAGTGATTGAACAAACTTCTTCTGTATGCAGAGTTCAGGACTTAGCAAGTGAATCGCCATTGCTTCTGCGGTTTGAAGAAGTTTGATTCGTGCACATTTAGGAAGACTACTACTAACTCTGCAGACAACTCTGAAGTTTGTTTGGGGTGTAGCTTGGTGTCCAGAATCTATCAGATGTTCTAAGATGGAGATGTGGGGGCATCGTTTTTCTTCTTTGTAAAACCACGTTGGTAAGTGTTCGGTGATACGTTTGGAAAGTGAACGGTGGGTACGGTCGACATACCTGGCTAAACACAAGCAGGTGAATTGATAAATACACATTGTTGAGGCCAGCAGTGCTAGCTTATCCTTCACGTTCACATGAATCATTGGTTTTGTGGAGAAGGTTAGTTGTAGTTCAGCTGATCAATTATCTAAACTTGACAAACCTCATGTACACACACACACAAATAATTATTTATAAATGCGATTGTACAGCTATGTGAATGGATTCGCTGAAAAGAGTCTCTTCGCTGAACGTCTTCTCTTTTTCATATTTAATTTACGTTAGCTTCTTTGTTAAAATAGAATTTACTTCATGTAGTAAACATCTAAGTTATTTATTCATGTCTTAAATCTTTAATTTTCTTACTGGTTTATATACAAGTAAAATTTTGAATGTAATCTTCAAATAATTATATTGAAGAAGGCAGACGTGCAACTCTACGGGGCTGAATTATTAGCATTACTATTATGCTTAATGACTTACCAACGATTGAGGGAAAACTGTGTTGTGAAGCGAGTTATATTGGCAGTTGCTCTTAGAACTTGATTTTAGGTGTTCGCTCGGAAACATCTACACGTATGGCTAAGTAAAGATGTAGTAAAAACTACATACAGTCCGATATGAGGCCACTTGGACCGAACTGGTGACAAAGCCAAAATTGAAGAATCCTCCTCTGTCATATAAGGTGTATCAAATAAATTGCCAAAAACATCTAGGTACCGCATACTTCAAACAGCAGAGGCTATTGCAATTCGTCTCTAACAACCAGTGCTTTGTGTGCAAAAGAAGCAAGTCCAGCCAGCCACTACTACTGCCCTGACCGGCCTTCATTGGAAACTATACATTCATGAATTTGTATTATTATCTTTCCTAATTTTTCTTACATTCAGCTTGATTGAAGTTTGTGGGATCACTTGTTTTATTACCTAAAATTTCGTATAAATTTTCAGTTTTAAGGAACTTTATATAAGCCAAGTGAAGAATTTAGTTCCTGATATAATATAACACCGTTATCAAATTACACAAGCCAGGCATGACTTCGGCTAATGCTTTAACCTCTAGGAACCCCACCATATATATATATATATAGTTAAGTAGTCGTTTCATCAAACCATCAATTTAATTTCTCCAGTAAACCAAGGTGTTCAACTGAGTAAGAATGAAATCATGGTATCGTTTGATGTTAAAGCATCATACTCTTCAACTGATCAAAGGCTACAAAAAGAAATCATCCAAACAACTGTTCAAAAATGATTAACACCTTTGCGATTTAACAAAATTTCAACGTTCAATTTGGTTTAAACTCATAGATTTTTTGTCTTGTAAAACACTAATGATTCAATAGTAAAATGTATGAAGAGATTAGGGAGATGCTAATATGAGATCACCCATATTAGAATAGACAACTAAAAGTGTTATGCGAAGACTGGAAACTTAAAATCCAGATATGCTACGATTACGTCGCATCACAATTAAGAGAAATGATATAGGAAACTTTCAACGGCACTGAGGTCATAAGAGAAGAGAAATCAGGGGGAGGGAATTCAATTTGTGAATGTATCAGTCAAAGGGAAAAATACTGAGGAATTCAGAAAACAACTTTTTCTAGAAAGTTAATTTATACAGATCAAGTACTTAATTACACAAATAACGGTTCGACAGTGCACGAAAGAAAGATGTCTATAAACATTATTCAAAAGAGCAAGGATACGCTGCACCACTCCTACCTTGAGGATAATACTCATCTCCTCTTGGTTCAACTCAGCAACAAAAATCATAATCTAGAACACTTTATAGAAAGTTATTCTATTCTATGTGAAGAAATCACAATCAGACTACATAACGATATTCAAGTAAATGTTGCTAATTAGCTAACACATTCGCTTCATTTCACTGCATAGAGACTAAATTAGTATTAATAGTACTGCTTAACAAGCATACTGACTTAGAATAATTTTATCGATCAATAAAGAACAACTCAGACGGTCAAAAGGTTACAGTGTGAAACAAACAATATCAATAAATACAACCATACGAAAATCACCATGGTCAAGGTTATCTTGTTAAAAAGTTATTTGCTAATGCATAACTATCAAGCTCAGATGACAGTAAAATTATAGTTGAAGACGTTCAGTAGGAAAATGTTGGCTTCATGACTAAACTGTTTGACTCTGAAATCCCAACTTCGCAAAATATATACCGCAGGTCAATACACTCAAGAAAGAAAATAATTGTTTGCTGGTTTTGTAGGCTTAAAATACAACTGATTTGTTATCTGAATTTCGTCACAACTTTTCGTGTACAGTTTTTCTACTAAAAGACGAACTCAATCTAGGTAACTAGATTTCAGCATCCAGATATGAATGAAATTGTAATAAAAAAGGGCTTTAACACTGAATGTCATATATACCCACTATTACATGACTAAACGTTGCATACTGAGCATTGCTGATATCTAGGAGAGACTGAAATGCTCATTAGTGAAGCCAAGCTAATAAAAGTCAAAACCAGAGATCAACACAAGTTGTCCAGTATTCAGAAGAATTTGGATGGGTGATTTACATTCATACAACCTCATGAATGTTCGTCAAAATCAAATGGAGACCGAATTATAAAAGTAATTTCTCACTTAATGTAGGTACATAAATGAAAGATAAAGACAGGAGGATTCTGGGCTGTTTTAGTACATTCTCAACGGTTGATCGCATGTCTGATGTTGACAAAACAAACAAACAAGAATCAGTTCTTCACCTTAAAATAGGTGAAAGATGTTTAAACATAGTTACTGTAATTAGAATTTAATTAGTGGATGGTGACTAGCAGTGGAATCTAGGATAACGCGCACCTTGTCCTATTTGGTACTCGTCTGATGGATGTACCTGGATATTACAGTGAGCGATGATGTTCCCACCGGCAATGCAACCTGTGACAGAGCACTTCGGTCCAATCAGTCGACGGGAAAATCTAAAATTAAATTAAATTTTTACAAAACTCTGTCAAAATCCCTGACAAAGGATAGATTGTGTGACATTTTCCCAGAAAATCCTGTGGAGTTTATCTGTAATCTGTCGAGTCTAAAGTTAATTCGGATTGAAATGAAAGCACTTTCTCTTGGATTAAAGCTTCATGTTCCAAATAAGTTTGCCCAAAGAACTGATATCGCAGTTCAGTTCGAAAACCTATTCTATCAGCTGAGTGACCTTACTCCAGTTGATTTTGACAAGAACAGCTGGTTCAAATCTAAGCTCGTCGACGTTGCAAATACATACCTTATTTCTCCAATGTCATATTTCAAAGTCCTTTCTGAAGAGCGTCAAAGAGAATTGAGAGTTCTTAAGAATAATGACAAAATTGTTTTATTGCGACCTGAAAAAGGCTCAGGAGTGATGCTGATGGACAAACAGGACTACATCGCAAAGATGAAAGCTGTGTTAAATGACCTGTTGAGATTTAAAGTTGATAATTGCCAGAAGAATAAGACAGATGCAGTCAAAAGACGTATCACAAACGCATTGAGAGATCTTCTAAAGAAGAAATTGATTGACAACAATACTTGCAATGATTTGAAACCTCGAGGGTTCCGCTTACCACACACGTATGGCCTCCCTAAGATACACAAAAAAACAAGTCCCCCTGAGACCTACACTTTCGATGATCAACTCGCCATAACATAAGGTGGCACGTTGGCTTGCGGAGAAGTTGGAACCTATTCGTCAACGGCCAGCCATGCACACTATGAAAGACTCATTTCCCTTCTCTGAAAGTGTGAACCTTGATGAACGTTTTTAATAAGTTCATGGTGTCATTTGATGCAACCTCCTTGTTCACAATGATACCAATCAACGAAACTATTGAGATCATTTGTCAGCAGTCTGATCTTCTCCAACTTCCAGAGTCGGAATTCAGACGCCTACTGCTAATATATACCACGGGTGTACAATTCCGATTTGACAACAGTCTTTACCGCCAAATAGATGGTGTAGCTATGGGCAGTCCACTTAGCCGTGTTTTAGCAGATATATTCATGTCCAACCTTGAAAGAACGAAGTTGAAGCATGCAGTGGACGAAACAACTTCTTACTGTCGATATGTCGACGACACATTTGTAATGTGCAACAATGAAAGCTATACTTCCTACCTACCCAGATTATTCAATGACGCACATACCAATATTGAGTTTACTATGGAACATGTAAGTGATGGATAGTTCCACTTCTTCGACATTGCCATGCAACGTCTAGCAGACGGTGGCCTTCAGAAGTCAGTTTATCGGAAGCTAACATGAAAAGGACAATACTTGCAATTTAAAAGCTTTTGTCCAAATAGCTTTAAACGCGGAGTAGTCAAAACTCTGTACTATAGAGCGAGGAGAAAATGCTCTATAGAGAAATTAGAGGAAGAATTTGAGTTTCTTGAAAAGATGTTGAAGAGCAGCGGGTAACCTCAAAGGTTCATCAACAAGTATAGAAGATCTGAAGTCACAAATGTAAAACAATTCAGAGTGGGTAAAAAGCCAATCTACATTCTGCTTGATTATAAAAGTGAAACCATTGCAGCGATGATCAACAAAAGGCTGAGTAAATCACTAGCCATAGCCTATCCTGCAGCTAAGCTCGTCCCCGTCTATCAAACAACTTGCTCTTTGGTGCAATCACAAATCGATAGATATCCTTCTCATGTTAACTCCAACTGTATGTACAAATATACATGTATCTGTGGGAGCAGTTACATTGGAAGCACATAAAGAAAGGCATGTCTACAATTTTCTGAACATGTACCAAACAGCTTATGTTTATGCCATCGCCAGGCATCTCCCTGACACAGATCATGAGGTGGATGTCGAAAAGTCGTCGAAAATGATCAATAGGCAAAAATGCCCAATTCTCCTCAAGTTTGCTGAAGCCATTTCCATCAAGCGCCTGAAACCTGATTTATGCGTCCAGAAAGAACAGGTTATCAGTCTTTCTTTGCACTGGTAACTGGCTATTTTCATCTCTCTTTCATCTGAATGCGTAATCCTGAAAAGTTTCCATTGTGTATGATTATCATTTTTCGGAATAGTGCTTATATATATATATATATATATATATTACTAGTGTATGGATATATTGATTGATTGGTTTTTGTTCAAAATAAACTCTGTGCAAGTATATTAAAAATTGTTTTTGTACTTATATTTAATAATTTCTTTGGCCTGTAAGCAGCTAACGAGAAGGCAACGAAATAAAAGATGGAAATATTTTATTCTGCAAGAACTGTAGTTCTTGTATGTATGAAATTAAATAATAGTTATTGTATGATAACACGTTTCCATATCAGCTATTAGAATTAATAAAAATCAACATTCTGATAATAAAATGAGTAGTTTAATAGTCTATTATCCGATGTAAAATACTAGGATTCATGCTAGAGATAACTAAGTGGATAGTCGTACTCTTCTTTTCATCACTACTTAGTATTTTGTACTGCTTGTTTCAAAACACCATAAACTAAGTGTTGTTAATGAATAGTTTCCAAAAACTATTGATTTTACCTACAGTGTTGAAGAGATACGAGGCAATGAGGTATCCAATTGAGAATTGCTTCGGTGTTCGAATCAAATTATTGTGAGTGTGAATCTCTTTTAGAAGATGATACACCTACACTCAATCATTTGTTAATAAAGCTAGTTAAAAGTAGGGTCACTTATGGATTTTAGAGTTGATAGCTAGCCATTGTAGTTTTTAAAATTTATGTCAGCATTTGTAACATATTTCAATTCAAGTAATGGAGACTTAAACACAGAAATAAAATGATACAAAAAAATTATTTTTTTTGTTTTGCTTTACTAAGTTACTTACATCATAATAGTATGAAAATGCTTGAGACTTGTCACCTTCTTGTTCGTAATTATCGCCTAGTCTTTGTAGGAGAAATGGATCTGTTGGAACCATTCCATGTAACTGCATAGCCCTTAAATTGAAGAATAAATAAGAAAATAATTTTTTGATACAAAAATAATAATCATGACCATGTATGAAGAAATGCATTCACTTAATTCAAGTTAGCTCTTCATGGAGCTATCAGTCTTATCCAAAGCTTTGGATAAAATACATCTCTTATGAATACCATTTACGGTAAAAGTTTATTTTTTAACTCCTTTGCGTTCCCAGTGGAACATAAGGGGCTTCAAGCTACAGGCTTGAGGTTTCAGTAGCGGTAGAGTTAATTTTTACAGGATGGGATTGCGAGCCTTGTATTCAACCTCCCCTCTTTGCCAGTCCTCTTACTGGCATAGCAAGGTAAAGGAGTGCGTCCGTGTCCGGAGATCGAACCTGGAACCACCTGCATACCTGGCGAGCATTCTACCACTGTGCCACCGATGCACAACGGCAAAACTAATTACTCCTAATAAGTTACAGGATTTCATCATGAGTCGACATTGGTTAGAGAACCATTGAAAAACCTCAGGGTACTGGGCAATTGTCTCGTCAGCCTAGTTTGGGACTCTTCATCAGTACGCAACTGCCGGGGTTCGAACCCAGGACCATCTGGTTACAAGGCGAGATCATAAACCACTAAGCCACTGAGACCTGGGGTTCTAGTGAGAATTCGTGACTAGTAGGGTGCACCAAGTCGGGTGTGAGGACAAATACTCGCCGAAGATATTGGCTAGTGTTCGCGCTATGTCGTGAATTGATAAAAGTTGGAATTCATGGGCTGGCCATTGGATCAGGTCCCAGTGGCCTACGAGCTCACCTTGTAACCAGAAGGTCCTGGGTTCGAACACTAGTGGGATGGATGCGCACTGATGAAGAGTCCTAAACTAGTCTGACGAAACGGATATTAGAATCGTGTTAGAATGGTTCTCTAACCAATGTCAGCTTATGATGAAATCCTGTAACCAAACAAATCCCTTCAAACCAACACTTAAATATTCCTAATTAATTTGCAGAAATAATTAAAAGGTTATTTAGTGAATCAATGTTGTCCAGATCATTAGATTTTGTCACTATAGTGTAACATAAATCATCTATGTAAAAGCACTTCTTGACACAAGATAAAATATTTATTTGTATTTCTTATATTTATAGTCCTCTCAATTTTTCGTTTTTGTTTATTTTTTTTCATAAGCGTGAACATAATTTAAGCTGTATTAGAAATGTTAATTTTTGTGTTTCCCCTCACAATACTATATCAACAGAACATTAGAACCAATAATCCATAACATGCTAAATTTTCCGAATTGAATCGACAATACTGTTTGAAACAAACTCACTGTTATTATTATTATTGTATTTAATATTCTCAATTCATGCTTCGAATATCTTTGACTTTATATCGTAAACGTGGACAAAATCCTCTGGCTAATTTTGTCTTAATTTTTAATTTTATTTATATTTTAAGTAAATCAGATGCAATATTGTGACAAATGCTGAGGATTCCATTCTGCATTACAAGTACTGTTTTGGAATAAAGTAAATTATTATTATTATTAACTAAGGTGTGTGCGTCTGTGGCATAGCGGTTGGGACGCTTGCCGACCATACATATGGTCCGAAGTTCGATCCCCGGGCGGCTCACTTCTTTACCTCACTCAGCCAGAAGTAACGCTGGTGAAGGGGAAGGGTTAAGCATGAGGTTAGCAACCCCATCCTGTAAAAATAAACACCGCTACAGAAACTTGAAGCTTCTAGCTTGAAGCCCTATGTTCCATTGGGAACGTGAAGGAAAAAAATTATTAACCAAGTTGGGGGCTTAGTAAGCTGTACATGTAGGTTGGAACAGAAAGACTTCCACAGTAACAGTTAAGTATTTAGTAACACTAAAGTGAAAAAAAAGTTATGAATTAAATCTTATCTTTACCATTCTTGCGCTTGAGTAGGATCTTCCAGCTTTTCATAAATATCCATAATTTGATAAACTACTGGTGCACTATTTCTTAGAAGAGTATGTAATTTGAAAAAGGCTTCAAGTGCCTCTTCATACCTTTCTAATCGTTTACATACTAATCCAAGATTGTAAAGAGCCTCTACACAACTTGTATCATCTTGCAGAGCTTCGGAATAACAATCTCGAGCCTTTTCATATTGCTGTTGTTGATATAAGACATTGCCTTTGTTAACAAGGGCTGAAACACAATAAGATATAAAATAATTAAAAATTACAGAGATTGTCTTTAATTTATCAATTATTTATCGTTCCCTTATCTAGGGAGCAATGTCTCAACTGCAGGAGCAGGAACGAACGAGGATGTAAAATCTAGCGAGAATTGGGAAGGCGAGAAACACATTCATCAACCTGACTGAAACCAATCTGCATAACCAATCTTCGTCACTCAGCCAGCATCAACGATAAAATTCAGTCGGATTTTCAATACAAACGTCAAGTCAGTCAGTTCTTCTATAGGGATGGGAAACTTGGCGGGCAGGTCACAAAGAATATTTCCAACAGCCTGATGCAGACCTTCATCAACAACTGTCTTCGCTGGCTCTATACTGAAGATCAGATGGCCGGGCCGGAAAGAATCACCAAAAAGGAACTATGAGAACAAACAAAGTAAGAACCAATCGCCAACCAACAAATATGCAGAAGAAAGTGGAGGTGGATGGATTGGACACTCGCTGAGGAGACCGCTGGGTGACATCGCGCGCGCGTCAGGGCATTGCTCGAGTGGAGCCAGGCCGAAAGGGAAGCAAGCGGCGAGTGGGACGCCATTGCAAGGGTGACATGGAGGAGATGGTGTGAAGAGAGAGGAGTTGAAACAGTATGGACTGACATGGATGAATTCAGCTGAAAAGTACAGAAGAAGACAGAAGTGGCAAGTGGAGACGTGCAGATGAAGACCTATATTCCACTAGGAACCCAAGCGAACAATAATAAAAATAATATGGTTATAATCAATCCATTTTAAAATATGATTTGAAGCTGACCTACTTAGACGAATGTTTATTGTATGTTGTAATTGATAATATGATATTTCTGCCACTTGCCTGCATATATATACGGCTACAGTTCAGGCGTGATGTACAGAGTAAAATAATTACTAACAAGTTAGGAAAATCTATTCAAAGAGCTTTTAGTGATGTTAAACTACAAGTCATATTTTCTACATAACCGATGGTAATTCCTCAAGTGAAAGATGAAGTACTTAGACTAGCCACCTTTACTTGGATCCACTAATTCAACTACCCCTGTGGAGCGAGTTATATTGACCGTCGCTCTAGGAACTTGAGTTTTCATGCTGGCTCGGGAACATCTACCGGTATGGCTAAGTAAAGGAGTAGTAAAAACGGTTAACAGTTCGATATTAAACTATATGGTGTAAACCAGCCGGCCACAGAGCCAACATTGAATAATCCTTCTCTATCATCTACCGCGTACTAAATCCTGAAAAGTTTATTGATAAGAATATGAATCTAAAAACAAAGCAGCCAAAGTTACCAAAAGTTCCAAAAAAGGCCTTATTCTTGCAAATGCAGTTCCTCGGAGACAGCATCAGCGAGATACTAACACAACGCCCTATAAATGGGGTAAAACGAGCATTCCCTGCTGCCGAATTACGCAGTTTCTTTAAAACCACTCCTCTTTTGCGTCTGGGAGTTAAAGACAAACTGCCTAATTTCGCCTCTTCCATGTATATCCACCAATCTGACTGTTCCTGTGGAGCCAGTTAGTTGCATAGGTCGTACAATTAGGCGTGTTTCTCGTCAAATTTCCGAACATCACCCTGCATAGTGGTTTAGCAAAGGACAAACAAAATCTATTCTCAGCGTTATTCTATCTCATCTTGTGGATACAGAACACAAGATTGACGTTAACCATGCTGCTTTCAGAGTCATTTACCGCATACCTACGAATCTCAGTTTCGCCTTAAGCGTTCGGCTACTAAATATCGCTGAAACTGGCTGTTGGGATCCATATTAATAAGCCTAATTTGTGCTTAGTTAGTTCAGACATTATCATTACCTACCTTGGCCATCTAGGTTTGAATGATCCTGGATTTTTGTGGAATTTGCTATTATATCTTTACAGTTATTATTATAATTTAAGCATCTTTAATGAACTGTAATTCCATTCATCTTACTTTACTAACCTGTATTATTTAAAAAACACTAAAATTGCTATTGACTACTAATCTAGAATATTCTATGTATATGAACATATATATGTAATTGTAGAGCCAGAAGAGGAATTTATCGAGAAGGATATTCTTTTCTCAATTATTTAGAGTTTTATAGATATCTGCAAGAATATTTTTGCAATAAAATAATTAGGTGTATATGCAAGTTTTTAGACAAAAATGAGTATCACCCCTTGTATATCTTAGTTAAAATATTTGTCAAATCTGGAATTATATTGAAGACTACATCTACTAAAAATACCTATCAAGGTAACAATAATAATAATGAATTAACTACCTGCAGGATTATAACGATCAGCTGCCAACGCTTGATCAGCATACCTATCAGCCTGTTGTAGATCACCCTCAAGAAAGTATAAAAATGATAAATTCGTCGCAGCTGTACACGCGATACGAGCATCTTTTCGTTCAAATGACTTCAGGGTATCAATTGCCTATTAAATAAAAATATTACAGGATTAAATAACTATTTTCATAACTAGATCTTAAGTTATTTAAAAAAAGTTTCAACTCTGAAAAGAAAACACTGAGAACTACTCTGTTACTCACTTTCATATGCAAAGATTTTCCGTTATCCTGAAATTAAATTAGGATTTTATAGAAATAAAAGATTAGGCTTTATTCGTATATTTTTTGAAATACTTGGTAGAACTGTAAGTTTATTGCGTCACAAAAGTATTGAGAAGAGTTTCGATGAGATTTCCAAAAGAATGTTACAAAATAAAGAAAGGACACACTTGTCGATGTATTGAAAGAGATTAAGTACACTGTTAGGATAAACACATTTATAGGATTATTACTGAAACTGCATGATATCACTTATCTATACTCTACATCAACAAGTATAACAGACTGTTGATGTTTCTTATTACTAAGACACCGATTGATGTTTCCGTTTTTAGTCTTCAGAAAACGTGAACCATAGTCATTAAACAGTTATATATATATATAAACTCCTTCACCTACCTGGGAAGCATCGTCTCAACTACAGGCGGAACTGACGAGGACATCAAAGCCAGAATCCACAAAGCAAGACAAGCTTTCATTACTCTCAAATCTGTGTGGAGGTCAACAGCAATCAGCATCAAAAATAAGATCCGGATTTTCAACTCCAATGTGAAGTCAGTGCTACTATACGGATCAGAGACTTGGCGAGTCATAAAGAGCATCTCAAACAAACTTCAAACCTTCATTAACAACTGTCTCCGCTCAATACTCAAGATCAGATGGCCAGAAAAGATCAGCAACAGGGATCTCTGGGAGCGAACCAATCAGGAACCGATTGTGAAACAAATAGGCAGAAAGAAATGGAGATGGATTGGCCATACGCTGAGGAAACCATCAAGTGACATCACTAGACAAGCCCTCGAGTGGAACCCGAAAGGGAGGCGGCGAGTTGGTCGTCCAAGGGTGACTTGGAGGAGGTCATGCGAGGAGGAGATGAAAGCATGTGGACAGACCTGGAGCAGGGTGAAAAAGTTGTCAGAAAACCGAAGTCAATGGAGGTGCGCAGCTGAAGCCCTATGTTCCTCTAGGAACTAAAGGATACAATAATAATAATAATATATATATATATACAGAGCTGCAGATAATCTTTTCATAATCACATTATAGTATTTACAGTAGCACGCGAAACCTTACTCTTTATCTATCTGAGTTAGTTCTTCTCGGAATTAGGCCAACTATTTGGTGTTGCTGCGACCATATCTTTCTTTCACAATAAGCCATTATAAACAGTTGATTGAACGTTAATTGGTGAAAGGATTTCATCATGAGCAGACATCAGTTGGGGAACGTGTAGGGAGTACTGGACAGCTGTTTCGTCAGACTACTTTGGGACTCTCTGACTGTACGCACCTACAGCCAGGGTTTGAACTCAGGACCTTCTGGTTACAAGGCTAGCGAGCTCATAGAACATTGAGCCACTGGGACCCGATCCAATGGCCTGCCAATTCACGACATAGTGCGACTGCTAGCTAATGCCTTCGGTGAGTATTTGTCCTCACACCCGACCTGCTGCACCCTACTGGTCACAACTTCCAACTCGAACCCCAGGTAAGTATTTACCTGAATAGAGCCAGTCGCCAGTTAGCATCTCATTGGTATTCAAGTATTGGTTTGTAGGGATTTGATTGATTGGTTACAGGATTTCATCATGAGCCGACATTGGTTAGAGAACAACTGGAAAACCACGGGAACTATTGGATATTGGCTAGCGATTGCGCTATATCGTGAATTGCCTCGACTTGTAACCAGAAGGTCCTGCGTTCAAACGTTAAAGGGGTGGATGAGTACTGATGAAGAGTCCCAAACTAGTCTGACGAAACAGCTGTCCAGTACTCCCTGCAGGTTTTCCAATGGTTCTCTAACCAATGTCAGCTCATGATGAAATCCTCTAACCAATCAACTTAATCCCTATAAACTAATACTTGAACGTTAATTATTTGACAGAGGTTTTCTAGAACTTAAAGCTAATGATTGTTTCAGGTGGTATACCTTAAAAACAATGATAGTAAGCGAAGCATCCATCTTCATCCTTTAATTTTCATAAAACTAACTGTAATTAATCACTGAACTCACTGCGAAAGCTATAAGTGCCGGGTTTAAACTTTGCTCTGCATACTAGCTTTTGGTTACCTGAATATCATCATATTCCAAGGCCTACTAATTTGTGCAGTTCTTACTAACTCTACACGTTTTCATTATTAGGTGTATGATTAATGATTACATGGAAACTGTCACACTCAGCTGTAGCTTTACCTTTAAAGAAGCAGTTGAATCACAACTACTGCAACTGACATTCAAAAAATTATGAATCGACTTTTAATTTAGGAGTGGAGACAGAATTAGTTTTCAGAAGTTTCATCTAGCAAAACAACATGACGCTTAAGTTTTAATTACACATACACACCAGAGTATACGTATGTTACATCCATACATCATCAGAAGCTGACTCTTTAAAGGTGAAATGAAAATTGACTTCATAGCCTTGAAACTGACCTGATGAAAATCTCTTTGCCTCAGGTACATAACAGCTTTATCAATTTCTAAATCATGTGCAATTTCATGATAAGATGACATTTTCACTTGTTCAATACACCAGTCATAACCAGCATGGAAACTGGTTTCGATAGCTGGAGTGATTATTTTTGCAGCCATTTTAATGAAATTTTCCGCTTTCATTTTCCTTTTAAATAAAATAAATGAAAGTTATGCTTACAAATACAAACAAATATATAATTGTTTATTTCTAATCACTGAGAAATGCAAGTACATCCAGTTGACGAGTCCCAAATAGGACGAAATACGCATCCTGGATTCCACTGCTAGCCACCATCCACCAATTGTATGTTTATTTCTAAGTCCATTTACAAAAGTCAGTAAAAGTGAATCTACTAGTCGTAACATTATTACAGTATGCAGCTTTTGAAATGTGAACAAAATACACCCTCCACTAGCAGTATCTCTTTTTTGTTTTATTGACTGATGGCTTTAACATGTTAATCAGTAAAATACCTAACTGCTTGACTATTTTTTTTTATCATACTATAAGCTCCCTTGATTCTTTTCCGCCTAGTTTAAATCTAATTGAATTATAAAGAAGAAGAAAAAGCAAATCATGTGTTCTTCGTTTTAATTTAATCAAATAAAGAATCTACTCAGAACGGAAATATGTAACATTAGCGTATTTTGTACGAATGGCCTTCAGATAATAAAATCAATTCGCGTGTCGATGGACGCAACCATTGAACGTTTGTTTATTGGAACTGGTAGCCATTGATTGGTGGGCAACTCGAAGGCGCGAATGATTCAATCGTGTACAAGTTGGAAGAAGACGAAATAATACGAATAAAAGTATAATATATTTTGCATGAAACATTTGTTTATCGACTTGTAACCATCTTGCCTTTAATTGTCAAACAATATAACTTTCCAACAAGTACTGGTATTTTCGAGTTGAAGTCGAGAAAGGTACATAGTAATTATCGGTTCGAAGCGTCTTCGTAAATAATAAGAACTTAGGGTTAAGTTCCTTGACAGCGCGTTTAATGAACCACACTATATATATATATATACATATATATATATAAGTGCCACTTCGTCAACTGAAGCAGCTAGAAATCATGACGATTCATGGTCTTTCTTGACTTTAGTTAGAGTTCAATTACGTTTGAAAACAGCTTAAATATGCCATTTAGTTAGGAAATCAATCAATCAACTGTTGAAGTGAGTTACACAGAGATCTGAAGACTATGCATTATGTAACTGGGATGTTTATATGCTTAAAGTAATGTTAGATATTCCTTTTTACACTACCAAACAAAAGTAGGGTTATTGTTTTCCTTACTAACCACTGATATGAATCTTTTTTTTTTAAAAAAATTAAGTTGTGAAGTGAGTGAAAACACAATCAAAATAATTATGGTTTTCCAGTTTTTGGTTCATTATCAGTAAGAGAATTTAAATTTCAAATATTTATAAAAATATTAAATATAAAAGGTACCAACAAGAAATGATTAAGAATAATGACACAGTGTTAAAAATAGCTGAGTATGACAAAAATAATTTGGTAAGATGAAATTAAAATTCTGAAATCTCGTAGCATAATGGTTATCATCATTTAATGATCATAGAAATGAGCTTCTCTAAGAGTTCTATCAAAATGACAATTAAAAATTTAGAACAACACATTTAAGTGAACAGTATTGTGCTTTCAATCACATCTCATCACGGTTCAACTCTAATATACATAACATTAAGAATAAAAATTCAAATATAAACCAATCACTGTGTTTTGGGAATAGAACAATAAGACTGTGCATATAAATTGCGCAATTAGTCATTATATTAGTAATAATAATAATGATGATGTTTCTAACAATAACAAGGATGAAATCACTTCTTGACTGGATCCAAGTAGATAGTCATATGTATGAGGTCCGTCTGAACGGGTCCGTTAGAAGAAGGAAGGATGGTGTTAGCCGTCGTTGCCTTTTCATAGTCCACCTCCCCCCCAACAGACTGCAGTTCGGATGAACTAAAGAATGGCTTCTGCCTGAAACGGTCTAATTTACTGCACAAAGCAAAACGTTCAGATATAGTTGCTTTAGCAGGCGACTTCGATACTCAAGTAGGGAAGTTATGCCAGACTGAGAAGTATGTAGGTGGGACCACCGACTAACCGACAACGGTGAGCGTCTTCTACAGTTCTGTTCAGATAGCCATCTGTCCCTGGTTATCACTAATTTTAGCCACAAAGAGAGACAGTGCATAACCTGGAGGCCTCCATCACCAAATCAGCGTTGGACTCAGACAGACCATATAGCGATAGAGTATGTTGGCGAGGGTTAATACAAGACTGCCACTCCTTCTGAAACACGTACTTAGACTCCGATCATCCTCTGGTCCGCGCGCGTTTAAGCTTACGTGTAGACGGATATAAAAATTTTTGTCAGCGAAGCACTTACTTCGTCAGGTAGATCCAGACTCCGAGACCTTATTTAACAAGGAAATAGCGAAACGAATATCTGAGGTCGACAGCAGGACTCCTTCTGAGGAAGTCTATCACAGCATACAGTTAGCTGTAGACACAGCTATCAGAGTTATTAATAACCTAAGACTGAAAATTAGTAAGAGCCATTGGATCTTTACTACCTCATCTGAAATGATTGACTCAAGAAGACTGATTCCGGCGAGCTCTGATTATGATGAGGAGCGAAAGCTACTCAAACGGAAACCAACAAGAAGTCTTAGTAACGGCTGTGAACAGTGGTGGGTGACAAAAACGAAAGAGATGGAAAAAGCACCGGCGATTTTTAACACCACACAACTATTTAAGCGTATCAGGGAAACAGGTGGTAAAAGGCAAATAATAAGTGAAACAATCTCTGAGGAAAATGGCACGATAATTAGCTCCCAGGACAGATGACTAGAACGTAGGAAAGAGCACTTTAAGGAGCATTTTAATTGGCTCGCAGCCGCACTCAACTTACCGAACATTCAACACCTCTCTGAATGGGATATAGACACAGGTCCTCCGTCCCTAACTGAAGTTTCAAAGCCTGTCACTAATTTGAAACGAGGTGACGCTGCGGAACCCGAGGTATTTGAGCTATTTGAATACGGTGGAGACAGTTAACTGTCTGCGTTAACTGAGGCACTGGGAAGCACCTGGGAATCCGAGGAAGTCCCGTCGGGTTGGTGTAATTCATTGATTATCCCTATATACAATAATGGAGACAAGTGTTTCTGTGATAATCACAGGGGGATTAGCTTGACTAATATGGTATCTAAAATTCTAGGCTCAGTAATAATGCGTAGACTAAGTGGTGCTCAAGAGGCACAAACACGAGAGAACCAGGCAGGCTTTAGACCAGGAAGAGGGTGTATTGATCATATCTTCACCCTTCGACAGATTTCGGAATCCAGGCATATTTGCAGGCGTTGAACAGTCGTTATATTTCTTGACCTAAAGACGGAATTCGATTCTGTTTACCAAAAGGTACCCTCTCGATGTTCGGCTGTGGAAAGAATGCCGAGAAAATACATTGCACTAATCAAGGCACTCTACTCGAACTCATGCAGCAAGGTGAGGGCTTACAGTGAGTTGTCATCTGAAGTAGTGACAACTAATGGTGTTCGAAAGGGATGTCCACTATCCTCATCTCTATTCAATTTCATCATAGATTTACTAGTGAAATTAACCCCAGCTGACCTGACTTCAGCAATTCTGGGATCGAGTTGTTACCAAGGTATAATCTCATTGACTTAGAATATGCAGTTGATATAGTCCTTCTAAGTGAATCCACTGACAAAATCGAGCACAGTCTTCTGAACACCTTGAGCTGCCAAATTTAAGTTGATGCCACAGGAATGGACTATATTGACTCCTACCTTAAACAAAGGGAGTGAAGTGGTAGAGCGCATTTACCACTTCACTTATTTGGGAAGTTGCATTAACCAGCCGCCAAGTGGGTTGATCGCTGAAGAAATCTCTGCATGCATACAGAAGGTACGTTTGGCATATGCCAATTTACCTTTTCTGGCGTAGACATGATATCCGGCTTTCGAATAAAGGGCGTATGTACTGCTCATCAGTCCGCTCCGTCCTCCTCTATGGCTGTAAGACCTGACTATTGAGAGTGGAAGAGATGAAAAGACTAACTATCTTTGACCAGAGGTGCCTGCGTTCTATATCCCGTGTATGATGGTGGTGTAATAGGGTGAGCAATATTGAGGTTAGTTATCCTTCAAGTGCTAGGTAAGGAGGGGAAACCAATCGACGAGGATGTGAAATTACATCGACTGAGATGGTTAGGACATGTGTTACGTATGCCTAGTCATCGCCTTCCTCGACAATGGGCAATGTTAGCTAACATAGGGTCAGGCTGGTAAACAGCTAGCGGCGGTCAAACCAAAACATGTCACCAGTCAGTGAAATCCACAACAGTTAGTTTAAGCTGGCCAGCCATGTAGGAAGGCGTGGAGACTTCCTGATTGGGGTCCTCGAGCCAGTAAAAACCAATGAAGGCTGGAGACAATAGGTGATTTGCCTCAAAATAGTTCTCGATGGAGCAGATGCTTCCACACATTGTGACTTATAATAAGCAATAAAACGATATTGTTCTTCGTTATTACTATTTCTTTGTCTCACACCTCTGTCTACCGTCTCTATTATGCATTTCTTCTACTTCCTTCTTTTGCGTTGTGTGCCACATGGAAGGAGTGTGGTGACTTGAACTGCTGCACATCGGTGCAAAGTTCTATGTTGAAACCAGTTGGTTAGTCACACGACCACCATCAACCAAATGTTTGTTTAATCATGCTGTTTTTCGTTATTCTGGTTATCACAGATCACCATCATGATTATTACCATTACTAATATAATGACTAATTGCACAATTTGTATGCACAATCTTATTATCCTATTGAGAAAACACCACGATTGGTTTATATTTGAATATTTATTTGTAAAGTTATGTATATTAGAGTTAAGCCTGATGAGATTTGATTGAAAGCACAATACTGTTCACTTAAATGTGTTGTTCTAAATTAGACCTTAATCAAAAAAAAAATAAGGAGGCTTCAACTGGCACTGCATTGCTTTATAAAAAGTTGGTTAATTAACTAGTCAGTATTGGTCTTCTTTTATTCAATAAGTTCGTCAGCTTACAGTTAACAAACAAATAACTTCGCTATATGATATTAGAAATTTCAACAGAATTAAAGTTAATAATTATCCTATCATTTGTGAACTGTTGAACTTACTTTTTCTTCTCATATTGTCGTAGGTCATCATTACGAATCACTTCTAAAATTAAATCATACTGTTTATCATCCTAGAAAAATCAGAAAAAATATATATATAAAAAAAAATAAAGCATAAGATATCATTTGAAAAAATTACATTGTGTTGTAAATAACGATCTTCATCATCCAAATGTAGGTCGACACGTAGTAATTGTTGAAATGCATGCTTCATTTTATTACGATCACCAGTGATAAAATAACAGACAATCAAATTGAAACCAGTTTTTGAATCAGGTTCTTCTTGCATAATATGCTCAAATGATGTAATCGCCTCACTGAATTGACTAAGTTTAACAAAACTTATACCAATATTTTGCATAATTTTTATTCTAGAAAGGAAGAGAAAAATAAGATTAAAAAAAAAAGATGCATAACAGTAACCCTACCTCATAAATTTATGCGTATTAGGCACCTGATCTAAACCCATACGAAAGAATTTAATCGCTTTAGAATAATTCTTCTGCAAAAAGTAGATATTTCCCATATTAACTTTAAGTCTACCTAAAATAATAATAATAATAATTGTGTGAAGTAAATCAATTGGTTATATGGAACGAGGAAAGGAGAATTTAATCATTTAAAAGAGAAAAATAAAAAAAAACATTGGTAACTTTGTATTTAAACAAAACTTAGGAGTACTTACTTCTGGCAATTAAGTCAAGGATTTTGTAATCTCGACAGGACAATAAGAAGACGTAGTTTATCAGGAAATGTGTAGTGTATTTGTGCAACACATTTCGGACATTCTAATCACACATGTGCTTGTCATTCATATTTATATAGAAGGCAAGAAGGCATAAAGTTATTACAGCACAAGTCACAAATAATGGGTTGGAAGATGACGTAAGCGTGTGGGTAAGAAAAGAAAACCAGAAAAAAAGGAAGGAAGGGGCTGAAAATACCATTTAATAAATTTAACCTTGGTTCTAAGTTGGATTACCAAAGGAAGATTTAAAGTAATAAACAATAAGTAGTTTTTGGACACATAAAACGGATTTAAGCAAAGGTAGGACTCCAAGTGAACATAGACAAGACGGAGGTGATGAAAATAACCAACCAACCACCACCACCAACAAAAACATTAACAGCAACATCCAGCGCGAATCACGATCAACGGCAGGGATTTGAAAGAGGTTACTTCATTCACTCACTGATCTAGGGAGCGTCACCTCAACTACAAGCAGTCGGAACGGACGAGGATGTAAAATCGAGCGAGAATCGGGAAGGCGAGAAACACATTCATCAACCTGACTGAAACCAATCTGGAAATCTTCGTCACTCAGCCACCATCAACGACAAAATTCAGTCGGATTTTCAATACAAACGTCAAGTCAGTCAGTTCTTCTATAGGGATGGGAAACTTGGCGGGCAGGTCACAAAGAATATTTCCAACAGCCTGTTGCAGACCTTTATCAACAACTGTCTTCGCTGGCTCTATACTGAAGATCAGATGGCCGGGCCGGAAAGAATCACCAAAAAGGAACTATGAGAACAAACAAAGCAAGAACCAATCGCCAACCAACAAATATGCAGGCGAAAGTGGAGGTGGATGGATTGGACACTCGCTGAGGAGACCGCTGGGTGACATCGCGCGCGCGTCAGGGCATTGCTCGAGTGGAACCAGGCCGAAAGGGAAGCAAGCGGCGAGTGGGACATCAGTGGAAGGGTGACATGGAGGAGATGGTGTGAAGAGAGAGGAGTTGAAACAGTATGGACTAACATTGATGAATTCAGCTGAAAAGTACAGGAGAAGACAGAAGTGGCAAGTGGAGACGTGTCGTTGAAGCCGTATGTTCCTCTAGGAACTCAAGGGAACAATAATAATAATAATAATGAGGTAATTTATTACATCTATAAAAACTTTAATATCGAAAAGCTAAGATAAATGTCTTTGTGTTGTACACTAGCAAAAAGCAGCAAAGAAATGATCTAGTTCATGAAATTAATCAGGTTATAGTATAGATAAGTGAAAAAGGAAAAACATACTAAATCTTGTTATTGAGAAAACTGGAACCAAGTCGATTAGAATCTTTGAATGTCCTTCTTTTTGCGTAAATAGTGAATACTTCTTATAGTAAATTTACATTGTACTACTATACACTGCTATCCTTTTCGCTTTGTCTAAGACTTTAGCTTTCTTTACATGTAATCGACAATGTTAATTAGTAGACGTTCGCATAAACTCATGATAACCTCATCTCTTTTTTCATGTATTATTTTTTTTCAAATGTGCGTTGGTGGCACAACAGTCAGGACTCTCGTCCACCATGCACATGGTGCGGGGTTCGATCCCCTGCCGACGAAGCACACCTGATATCAATTGGTTGGCCTGCAAAATTTGGGCTACCGATATCACGTGCTGAATATTCCATACTTGTACCCAAAAATACGGTGTACAATTAAGCTATAATCAAAATAAAAAATCAATAAATAGAAAATCATTTACTTATCATGTTTTTAACTGCCTACTTAAATCTTTATCATAATTAAGGGTGTCTACTTACAAAACGTAACTTTAATTATTATAATTTTTGAATAGTATTTTCAAGGGTCATTATGGTAAATACTAAAAAGACGACAACAGATTGAATTTCATGTTTTACCTATATAAAAGTAAATATAAAGGTCCTTAAAAAAATAAACAAAACAAAAAAGGTTGAAGCATTCTCTGTTTTTGTCTTTTAGCTGTTTATTTTCTGTCTGACAGCATAAACTATTCAGAAATATAGATTTATGCATACACTATAATTTAGATGGATTTTCTCTATTGTATGTGTGTATAGGCTAATAACATATCTTATACTGTTAGAAGTGAAGGTTTTATTTAACAGGGTAAACATGATGATTATAACCAGTGAGTCATGAGTACGAATATCACTCTGTCGCATGAATTACGCTAGCTAAGCAGTAATAGTGAACTCTAAAAGGGTGTAGTTACTAAATAAATAAGTAAGCGTTAGCATCGGAAACTTTTCACGATAACATGAAGTGATTACATTTAATGGTAATTGTGAGCCATTAATTCTGATCATTTAAGAGATTCTAAGTCAAGCAAACTATCCCATTCATAACTGGCTTCAAAATACACTTGGTGCCATATCATAATTTGACACAATTGACTGTTTTCCACTCTAGTTCTATTTCGGTTCACATACCTTATCTAGAAAGGTGGTGGCAAGATATCCATGATACATGTCGTTTTCATATAAGTCGATGTTAATTGACAACCTAATCGATTTGGTGTTCCCTGCCTAACATTCAATGTACTAGATAAGTATTACTTACCATATTATACCACCCATTACAAGAAATTCAGTATACTTACGTATGATCATGGCGCATATCTATAAAACTTTTAAGGCCCATATAAAGTATCCACATCCTTTAGTAGACACCCAGATACCATAACTGCGCCAAAGATGATGCGTTTGTCAGTGCCATACCAGTGGTTTCCATCTGGGAGAGGATTTAGTCAGCAGTCATTATAAGTGGACTGATACAACTCGTTAAATTAGCGAAGTGGTCAACATTTTCAACCATTTAACTCTCTATGAATAGTGTACGCAGATCATGAATGCATCATCTGACATATGATGGTATAGAATCGCATGAAAAAGAATATTCAGATTCTCACTTAAGCTATTCAAAAGAATTCATTTTTCACCACTACTTAAAAGGTCAACATCATCTGTGTACTCGAGATTAACAAAACACTCAAGTATTTAGGGACTTAAAATAAATTTAGCGTTTATGTGATCATTAAAAAATCTCAAATATTTCTCACAGCATTTGACAAGCAACACCACAGGCTGTAATACAAATATTATTTTTAAAAAACTGTTTTTTAGTAATAAGGCTTTCAAATCAGTTTTCTTAATAAATCAGTATCATCAGTGAACCACTGAAGATCAACTCAGTTGTATCTCCTTACTTTTGAATCTCAATAGCGTCTCACTGGTAGCATCCACTAATAGTTGTTCTCAACTGTGACTAAGAAAACATGCTGTCTACGAAACCTGACGCTTCTGAACAGATTTCTGCGTTGCATTCTGTCGACCAAGAGGTTCCCTGACGATGCTTGGCTGTAAAGAGAATGACGAGAAAAAATATTGCACTGATCAAGACACTCTACTCGAACTCAAGCAGCCAGGTGAGGGCTTATGACGAGTTGTCATCTGAAGTGGTGACGACTAGTGGTGTCCGTCAGGGACGCCCACTATCCCCATTTCTATTTAATTTCATCATAGATGTGCTAATGGAATTAATCCTAACTCACTTCAAAGACTCAGGGATTGACTTTTTACCAGGGAATAATCTCGTTGACTTAGAATATGCAGATGATGTAGTCCTTCCAACTAGGTGAAGATGCTGGCGAAATGGAGAGTCTTCTGAACACCTTCACCTCCAATCTGTGAATGTTCGGCATGCGATCCGCTCCCGCCAAATGTAAGATGATTTTACAGGACTCACTGGACTACACTGACTCCTAGTTTAGAAATAGGGAGTGAAGTGGTAGAGCACGTTGACCGCTTCACTTATTTGGGAAGTTGCCCCAACCAACCTCAGCGGGTTGTTGGCTGGCAAAATCTCAGTACGGATACAGAGGGCTAGTTTTGCATATGCCTGTTTACGCCGTCTCTGGCTTAGACGTGATATCCGGCTATCTACCAAACGACGTGTTTACTGCTCAGCAGTTCACTCCGTCCTCCCCTATGGCTGTGAGACCTGGACATCGAGAGTGGAAGACATGAAAAGATTAGCTGTCTTTGATCATAGGTGCCTGCGTTCTATATCCCGTGTGTAGTGGTATAATAAGGTGAGCAATATTGAGGTTAAGCATCCGTCGAGTGCTAGGTAAGGAGGGGAAACCAATCGACGAGGATGTGAAATTACATCGACTGAGATGGTTAGGACATGTGTTTCGTATGCCTAGTCATTGCCCTCCTCGACGGACATAGGGTCAGTCTAAAAAAGCGCTAGCGGCAGTCAAACCAAAATATGTCACCAGTCAATGAAATCCACAACAGTCAGTTTAGACCAGCCACTTTCGTGGGTGCAGACTTCCTGGTTGGGTCTTCGGGACGGTAAAAACCAATAACTAGAGACATTTGATGATATGGCGCAAAATCGTTCTCAATGGCTGGCACAGATGCATCCATTCCTTGTGACTTATGATTTCCAATGAAACAATATTGTTCTTCGTTATCACTCCTTTGTCTCACACCTCAATGTGCTGTCTCTATTATTCATTTCTTCTTCTTTCTTCTCTTGGTTTGTGTGCTACATGTAGGGAGTGTGGTGACTTGAACTGCCGTACATATGTGCAAAGTGCTATGTAGAAAACAGACAGACAGTCTTCATTGGTCCTCTATTTTCTTTGCAAGTTGTGGGAAATCAGTAACACCTCTCTAGCTGGCAGAATTTCGTCTCTTTAAAGTACAAGATATGCGTTCGATTGATGAATTAATTAAATTACTTTTTTTATTTCCGTTTAATTGATCAAGTTTTTCAGTCTTAATACTTTTTGCGCTTTTCCAAATTATGGCAAATGGAACTGATGCGATTTTGTGCAGAGTTCTACTCTGATAATTCACTTCAATTCAGACTGAGTTTGCAGACACACCCAACTTATGCATAAATTTTCGACGAAGTTTTAATTTCAAAATACTGCTAACCTGCATGAGCAAACATTTTATTACGAACAATAGCTTGGTAGGTGTTCAGTGCTTCTTGATACATTCCACTAGCTGTATAACGATTAGCTAAATTGAAGAGAACTGAATATGTTAAGTCTAAGTTGATCTGATCAGCAACACCAAGTTGTTCTCTTTGTCTGACAAGTACACGTTCTTTACGACCGGCTTCTTTGGCTTTATCCAGTGCAACAGTAATCTCCCCTTGACAAGCAGCAATACAACTTTCTTCGATTAAATCATTAACCTAAAATACATAAATAGCCGTATTAAACATCCAGCTTACTTTTAAGCATTATTAACTAAATAACTTTAAGAATATAAGAATTTCACAGTATAAGTAAACTGACTACCTATTATTCACGCAGCTAATTTATGATAGTCTCTGAATAGCTTGGAAATGCTTCAGTTGTACAAAATTATGAAGAGTTTCATTTCTAACAACAGTGTGTTAGTCAGAATATTTCAATTGTAAAGAATCGCCTACTTTATTTCATTGGATGGAAGATTTCATAATGAGTTGACATCAGTTAGAGAACCACCAGAAAACCTGGAAGTACTGGACAGCTGTTTCGTTCTAGTTCGAGCCCAGTACCTTCTGGTTACAAGGTGAGCTCATAGACCATTGAGCCATTGAGACCCAATCAATTGGTTCATGGAGGGTGCGTACCGATGAAGAGTCCCATACGAGGATGAAACAGCTTTCCAATACTCCCAGGTTTTCCAGTGGTTCTCTAACTGATGTCAGCTCATTATGAAATCCTCCATCCAATCAAAAACAAAATCCCTACAAAACCAATATTTTATTTTTGTAAGCTGGATAAGCCGAACTAGCTTTTTCAGAAAATTCTAATCTATTTCACTTTATTAGTACAGAACCACTTGTTATGTGACTTAAACAGTGTCTAATGTAGACAGTTTTTATATATGATAAAGTTGCATAGAAATTTCCGGCTGGTTTTGCTGAATATGAGAAATAGGAAACTTTTATCCAACTGCTGCATGTAGTTGACAGGAGTCATGAATTTCAATTACACACTAGTTATAAGCAGGATGTTGAATAAACGTGATAGAAAACTTTAATGCTAGGCTAATTACCAGTTAGAGTACTACTGATATACGACTGCACGTGCCAAATAATTGGTGTATGGATATTAATGATATCCTTAGTAGGATAGTCCTAAAAATATGCAAATGAATAACTGTGACACAAATCTTTATCGGGAGGAGAATTAAGGTAAGTTTTTATTCATGAAGATAGATGGTTCATAAAGGCACCGACTAATGAAATCATTATTCCTCACGAGACAGAATACGACTAATACGAAAGAAAGTATTTAACGGTATCCACCTCTGTCATATCACATCAATATTTCTGCAGAAATAGTGCCTTATTTATCGTTTACCTCTTATACTACTTAATTGTGATTTTAATAGTTTGTAAGTCTCTTACAGTTTTTTTCCCGTTGAAATAAACAACATTGAAATAACAACCTACGAGGTTATGCTCATGAGGAGTTTTCATTTATGCACAAAGAAATACTGATCTGACTATGAAGCACGGAAGTATTCAAAGAACTTATGATATACAATGCAAGGATCCTACACTTCGAAATATTATTTAATGAATATATAGAACAGAGTACACTATTATTTCAACAGTATTTGATGAGTTACGATTAGCTAAAACATTATTTCACTAATCAAGCGGTAGATTAATTGAAATATCATTGACTACTGAAAAAATCTTTCAGCCCAACAGTTATCTGAAGGAATTTATGAACAACCTGGCAAACACCTTTTCAATATTACTTCCAGTAGACGGGAAAAGTCTCTATAGCCTCGAAAGCACTTAGAAAATATTGTAACATAGTGCCGATTATAACTGGATAAATTTTGTTACTATTATGAGATTAGTTGTTTATTAGTTATCATCAATTTTTCTATCTTCTTAGGTGATTTCGATCAAGATGAAATCGACTAAGTAGCAGAAGACTCATTTTCTGAAACTGCTCAACACCCAAAAGGGACACAAACAGTTCATTATTTAGTTTGTATGGAAAATTTGCTGGTTAACAGTAATTGCATTAAACGAGTTAATAAGATAAAACAGGAAAATGTCTTAAAAATGAAGTCATTACTTAGTGTGACGAACATTTTCACTGAAAAATAGATTACTTTATTAAAATCATGTTAATAAACAAGCAAACTGGTAGAATTCTTACCTGTTTTTCCATAATTTTTATACGTTCTTCAGGACTATTTTCTGGTTTTTTCTCAAGTGGAGGGACACTACTAACATCTACAGTTGTTTGCCCGCCTGGCCACCCGGCAATTCCCGATTGGCCCGTGCTTAATTTGCGTCCCATAGAAGAATAACCTGCTGCTCTGACTGAGGTCATCGGTCGACTACTATCTCCGTTGCCTAATCCTGAAGCAGTGCCTAGTCTGAAGTTTGCGGCAGTAGGTACTCTTCCGCTTGATCCAAAGACTGATCCCCGAACATTGGTTGTATTTAAATTTCTACCTAATACCTGACATATAAATCACACATTAAGTGTTATAAAATAAATAATAGGATAAAAATAGTGAAAGAGAAGGGAGTAGATGAAGGAGAGAATAATTAAGACGCTTTGGATGAGTGATCGTCCTGAAAGGTATTGTGATGATATTTCTATCATTGAATAAGCAGATAGAAAAATAAACTATTAGCATCTCTAGCACTTTCACAAAACTAAGCAGCAGTTCGTCTAAATCAACTTTATATCATTAGATCACAGAAACAATTTTGAAGCTGGAAATATTTATTTCCCTACACAAATTTAAAACAGGAAAAAACAAATATTTCGTTGTCTTAAATCAATTTTGAGCTTTAATTTTGTTTGTTATTCGTATTATAGATTGTTTTAACAATCTAATTAGTTTCGATGTAAACTGAATTCTGCAACATTGAATCAGTGTTTGGCCAAAGTTAGTAACTAGACGATTTCAGTTGTCTAGTCTTCGCAAACCAAGGCAACTTTCAACTTTACGACATAGTGGGAAACATTTCCACAACAGTATATAACTTCATAGATGAGACGAATACTGCTGTAAATTTCGACTCAATTTTTAGGGTGATGACATTATCTCTTTGAGCAATTTGTCTTGGGTTAGCTAGGCGAAGCCTGAAAGACCATCTTCATCTTACTACTAGACATAGACTACATATTTCCCGTAAAACATCTTTCTGGCATTTCTATTACAAGTGGTACTATAAAGTACTCTAAAATTAACTTGACACTAGCATTTCACCTATGATGACATTTATTATCAAGCTTGATCTTTCATGAAGATCGCTTATTTTCTAGATTTAAATTTCATGGATTTGTATTATTACCTTAACTAATTTTTCTGACATTAATTTTATTGGATGGAGGAGTTCATCATAAGCTGAAATTAGTTAAGGAACCATTAGAAAACCTGAGAGGAGTACTGAACAGTTATTTCGTCCGAGTTTAGGACTCTTCATCAGTACACACCCACCGCCACGGTTCGAGCCCAGGACCTTCTGGTTACAAGGCAATTTCGTAGACCATTGAGCCACTGGGACCCGATCCAGTAGCCCATGAATTCTAACTTCTGCCAATTCATGACACCATTTCGCAATGTCTTCTTCAGTGAGTTATTGCCTCATCTTCAACCTGCTGCACCCTAATGGTCACGGCTTTATTGTTACGTTGATGCTATTGAACTGTAATCTACTGATATTATTGATTCGGTGTTATTTAAACATTAATGTTGTTCATGACATTAATTCATTCACTACTATATGTATAAATATAACTGTGGAACCTGCTGATGAATTTATCGAAAAGAATTTTCTTTGTTCAGTAACCGACAAGTCGAATTAAAGATGACTTTGATAGCCTCAGTGCTAAAGATACCTTCATTCCGAATTGCCGAAAAAACTTTCAGAAAGCCGGATGTAGGCAAAATAAAAAAGGGGAACGTGTATTCACACGGAAAATTATTTTTAATTAGATACTAAAACAATTTCTTGTGGGTCAAAATAAGCTAAAGATCTAGATGTAGTTAGATATTTTCTTTGTTAAACGTTTTTCAGTTAAAATATCTGAAACCGTGTCGTGTTTACTTTGTCAGTTTTATTACACTAAGGTCTCAAATAAAACTTTATGAACTTCCACATGGTGGTTTTAGAAGTATGATACTCCTTTTATTCTAACACAAATGATGATTTAAAGCTCAAAACATCTGATTTCAAATTAAAAGTGCAATGAACGCCTGTATCTTGGTGGTGCCAGAATCACTGACCCTCAGCCCAGTAATCCACCTATATCTGTCGAAATATATAAGGTTTGAAGAAATTCAGAGCTTTAGAACAGACACCAACTCAGTATATTACATAAGTACTGAAGCACTGCATTTTGCATTACAATGTTATGCAGTCATGTAGTCTCACTATTTGGATGCCTTATAGTGCAATAATAAACAGTATTACTTAATAAGCCCCTCACATATAATTCGAATGTCGACTATTTTGCAAGAAACCGATAGTTAAAAAGTAACCTAGACAATGAAGATTCAAAAAAATATGTCTCGGTGATTTCTTATTAGTCTGTCAGAAAAGCGATAACATCTAACGTTGGTTTTAAGCTTAGCATTGCTGTTCGGCTACCCCATAAGAACATCTGTAGACAAATCACCGTGTATCTCTTAACTAATCTTATATTTTTTGTCTAAAGGATACGTACAGAATAGCCAGTCATGATTTTCACAAGGTTTAACTTAGACTTACGTCAGAAAAACCGTAATAAGTTAAGTGGGAACGCTGTTAGAAACGTAATGGTGATAACTCAGTTAAACTTCAGAATATAAGTGATAATCAGGTGTTACGATATATAGACATCCAAGCTAAATGTTTTGCTTTTGAATAAACTCAAATAAGATATACTGTAAATGCAAACTGTAACTTCTTTTTGCATACGTACACCAACAAATCTATACAACATATTTGTATATGATCATAAATATGCTAATTAATCAGTGATTTTAGAAATGCAGTGGTTTGACCACCTCCTGATCGGAGAGATAAGGTAGCCATGGCATTCTACATGTTAATCCATAAGATTCTGCAGATTGAATTCCACAACATCCTTAGTTTTTTTTTATTTTTTTATTTTTTGATTACAGCTTGATTCCACACTGTATTTTTGGTACAAGTGTGGAATTTTCAGCATGGATATCGGTAGCCCAAATTTCGCAGGCCGACCAAAGATATCAGGTGTGCATCGGCAGGGGATCGAACCTCGGACCATGTGCATGGTAGGCGAGAGTCCTAACCACTGTGAAGTGGTTAAAGAATACCTGAGAACAGTAACTTGTAACCCTCAGTATACTTAAAAACTGATAATTGTTAAAGTCATCCACATAACGTAAAAACTAGCCGAAGACATATTATCTCACTCAGTAAAAATCAAAAGAGGAATATTTCCACGCAACCTCGGTAATTCTCAACGATTTATTGAATATTACACCGAAGAAAAACAATGTAAGTTGAAAAATGACAACAAAACCTTTTTTATCGGGGCTAGAAACTCACTACCGACTAGTGAATTTAGGCAATCAGTTTAATATATCTCCCTAGCACATTAACAATGTCACTTATAGCAGCATGTTGATCTGTCTGTCCAGCTTGGAGAGGCTACAAGACAACTCAGAATGTTTGTGTGTCATATCACAAAGCGATCATTCCACCGACTGGATTAGAGCGATGGACGACTAAAAATTAAGATTAAGACTATAAGGATAGAAGGCTCTTGTCGCCTAGGCTAACCCTTGTTTCTTTGAAAACACTCATCGATGGAGCTGTTGCCACTGAATCAGGTAAGGAGTTCCAATCGTTAACAACTCTTCGAGAGAAACCAAATTCCACACGTATTTTATCGACCCACTTATTGTAACGGACAAGAAATTGAAGACTTATTGATCCCCAGTTCACTGAGGATGAATTAATACGAACTTAGGATAAACAGAAGCCTACGACGCATCATAACTCTTGTAAATGTAAAGTCCAGATGCATATATATCTATCATTACAGGACTGGATGTTTTAAACTACTGACCATAAAACACAACAGAAAACATGTGTACAACAAGCAACTTTTGGGAAAATGTAAGTTGTAAGTACACAGTGATATGGTTTGGATTTCAGATTTTTAGAAGACGACTACACCGAATGATACTAGTCCACCAAAAACTCAGTAGATCCTGTTAGTATCTAATAGCCTGATACTTGAAAATATACGTATAGTTAAAAACGAATATGCTCGTTCAAATGAATGGATAACACAACTTACAGGTGGCTTTCTGCCACAACTAGTATTTTTTAAAACATTTTGAAATCCAGCATCATTCATAAAGTTATCTAGTTCTGTTTTGCTGTCAACTTTATCAAAGCCTTCATAAATATCATCGATTTCATCATTGCTGATATTAGAAATCATTTTTGTACGACTAGTAACCTGGATACATAACGCAAAATGATGGATTAAAACAAACTGATTCACATAAGATTCAGGTAATTACTATAGTAGACCTTTGCTGCTTATGTTAATCTTTGCAATATACGCATATCTTCAGAGATATAATTTCTTTCTGAAAGCTTTCACCGATACAGCTATTACTACTGAATCATGTGAGGAGCTCCAGTCGTTAACCACTCTGTGAGAGAATCTAAATTCCACACGTGCTTTATTCGTCCTCCGATTGACCTCCTTTTTGAGGTGACCTCATAAGCATGTCCTATAGGTGGAGAAAAGACTAGAAATGTCAGTTCCTAAATCACTTTTTAACATAATGTATGACGAAATTATGTCGCCTCTCCTCCTTCGGTGAGATAACTGGGAGATTTAAATGCTCCATCCTCTTATTATAAGGAAGGTGTGAGATGCGTCCAAATGATCTGCATCCTATCCATGGCACTCCTTTCATGATATGAGCCTGTTTCTCTTGGCATGGACTCACTGCTTGTACGTATTATTCTAGATGTGGCCTTATAAATGTTGCATAGAGTACTTGGAACATTAATTGGCCTAGTCATTTGAAAGCCCTTCTAAATGCCCACAGCATTCAGAAAGCATTTGCCGTTGCTACATTGCAAATATCATTCGTTCCAGTAATGGTTTACAAGAATTGCTAAGTCGTTTTGTCTCTCAATACCTGAGCGTTCCATGGTCCTTACGTAGTTCGACGTGTATAACCTCTGACCTGAGTATACTACCGCACTCTTCATGGAATTAATTCGCAGGCTGAAGAGGTTTGACCATTCAGCTTATTCATCTACATTACTTTTTAAGACCAACCTATAATCATTATATACAGTTTTCCAGATCTTAATGTCATCCGAAAAAACAATAATGAGGATGTGGTAATAAATTTTGGTAGTTAATTTAAGTACGATATCTATGAGAGGGGACCTAGCACACCACCCCATTGTACTTCGACTAATACTGTTTTCTATCCTGATAGTACAATATTAACCTTTACTTCTCGCTTTCTACCCGTTAGGTATTCCGTAAACCACTCACATGAGGACTGATCCAATCCAAAAGTTTTTAATTCACTAAGGAAACTTAATTGGAATACTGTATCCAGTACTGACATCCAGCAGAAGGTTTATAGCCTTGGTTTTCACCCAGTCTTTTCTGGATAACAATAGGTTTATCAGGTGGGATTATCCAAGTCAGAATCCATGTGGTTTAACTATATGGGCTAAATGCTGTCCCCTAATGATTGTCTCAAGTAAGTTTGCGTAATGTAGGTCAGACTTACAGGTTGTTGGTTAGATATCACTTGCTTGTTCTGCTTTTAGAAGATACGCCTTATAATTGCTTCATTCCAATCCTAGAATAGCCTAGCTTTGGTCAGAAAATTCTGAAAAATCTCTACAGGTGGAATGTATGTAATATCCGTCAAGAAGAATAACAGTCTAGGTGAAGTTCATCGAGCCAAAGGGATTTACCCCCGCGTCCCCCACCATAATTGAGTGATTTTTATTGTCAGTGCTTAGATACCTCGCTGTACGAGCAGATAAAAAGACATCACGAAAAGTATTCCGAGAGATTTTCAGCTATCGTTTAATTTGAGTCAGCCGTCTTTGCGGTAGTGCTTATGATTGACAGTGTGTCAGCGCTAGTTGTAGTCATCCATTTAATACACGATTGCATTCCTTTTCGACAACGTAATAGTCTAGGATTAACTGACTCCCGTGCTCTATAAGACTCTTACCGGGCATATACTTACGATGGTTCGTCCGAAACACCTTGGTCTCTGTCACAGTAAACCGATACCATAAGTTCTTTGGCATTCTTAAAAACCCTAGTTCTTTGCTGATCTGAGGTGTTTGAGCAGTGGTTTTAGAGGGGTAGGCCAAGAAACGGAAGGTGCAGTAATTCGGTTAGTATGTTCCTAAGTCCCAACCGAGATTCTTCGACAGTCAGGTTTGTACCAACTGACCAATTGACTAGCGTTTCTGCGTTTCGGATTGCAAGTGTGTGCGCTTTCTAAACGTTTGGATGGGCATCTGTAGACCTATGTATCGGATCATGAATCTTAGACGTGAAAGTAATGACTACGTTGCCAATACTACCTGCTGGCAGAATGTGACTAATGTCAGCGACATCCTCCTTCTGGTGTGATGGTGCCAGGCTTTGTGTCGTCGGATCACATGCAGGTTAGCATCATGTGGGTGCATGTATACGCCACACAAGTGCAGATTCAGGTAGTGACAGTGTAAGCTCTCTGTTGAAACAAGTACGCAAGCTAGTGCATGTCAATTCCTCCCAATTATCATGTGTCACTTACTGTTAGACACTTATTTCTACTGCTTCACGCCCTGAGGTGATTTAGTAAGAAGTCATCAGATTTGTCATCAGGACTTTTAGTAACAACCACAATCGCCAAAATGTCCCTGTTCAAGTTGATGGCACTATTGCGCCTTCACTAGTGTGGCTATCGTGCTCTCATGTGAAATCTGACCCAGTTCAAACGTCATCTCAAATGTATAGGGCTACTCCACAACGTTTCCAACTAATTACTGTCCTCCGCTGTAATGCAGATGTATCCAGGTACGAATAGAGTTAAATCTACGCCAGCGAAACAGCATGTTTCAGTGACAGCAATCACATCAGGTTCCAGTCCTTAAGGTAGCGAGTCCATCCCTTAGACCACATGCATTCGTTTAGCACACTGAAACACATTTCTTCATAGAGGTCTGGGCAATATAGGTTTCTAAAATCCCACTCCCTGAAAACCCAATAGTATAAGGTTGTAGGGGTAAATAATTCACCAAAATTATTGACCACAGCAATCACTCATTGGATGCTGACCACCACTGTTTAAGTCGACTTGTTTAGCTGAAGGCTTCCGGTCAAGCATCCCCGCCATTTGGTACCCCGTCGTGTCATGTGCACGATCACTAGCTAGCTAAGCGTTCGTCTGAAGGCATGTTTTGGTCCCGAAATATATCACTTAGTTTGGACGACCAAATATTGGCTTTTGCTTTGTTGTTGGTACGCGAGAATAATTTAGAGGCAGTGTAAGGCAATTCCGTCAACCTATAAACTGGTGAGCCCAACCGCGAACTTCATCTACGATAAATCCGCAGATAACCCCGGTGGGTTCGTTCCATTTTGTATTTGTTCTTGTACCATATATAATTCGACATAATTTTCGTCATGAGTGATCTTAGTCCCAAGGTCATCCGTATCCGCTCAACTCCTAAAACCATTCAGCTCGTACCATACTGGTCAGATAATGCTGAAACGTGGTTTCCGCTAGCTGAAGCAGATTTTTGTGAGCATGGGATGACGGATCAACGTTCACAGTTACTTGCAGTTATTCACGCCCTACCCCGGGAATTCAGCAAGTACGTAACATCACAGATGTTGAGTCCCGAGGTAAGTAACTCGTACGAGTTGCTCAAAGCATCCCTCCTCAGGAGAAACGTTCTCACGGACCGACAACGTCTAGATGAGTTATTTCGTAACATCGAGTTAGGAGATCAGTCAGCTGTGAGCATGCTGACAAGAATGAAAGAAGTCGTCGGCCAAAGTCAGTTCGACGAAGGACTGTTTAGAGAACTCTTCTTAACCAAGCTGCCACAGTCTGTACAGACCGTACTTGCGACACTTCAGGGTACTGTAATAGAGGACTTAGCTATTACTGAAGATAGGATTCTAGAAATAACTAAACGGTCAGTTCCCGAAATATGCTCGATGACTAAGCAGACTTCGAGTAAGGATCCTGCAATGATAGAGTTATGCAACTCCATCCAATAGATGTTTAGGACAAACATGCCTTCTAAATCCTCCGACCGTCGTCCTAAATCTCCTCAACGCAGGAACTCACGTGGTCGATCTAAGTCCAAACCACGTTCTCTGAAAAACCCTGACTGGTGCTGGTACCACAACACCTATGGCCAAGAAGCGAAGTGTTCCCGTAAGCCTTGTAACTTCGGAAATGTCTCAAAGTCTGTGGAAAACTATCCCGCCGGCACGCGTTAGCGGCAACCGTCGCTGGTGGCACTAGCCGCCTACTTTACATCCATGATGGGATAAGCCAGACTCGATATTTAGTCGACACAGGCGCCGAAGTCAGCGTCCTTCCTGCTTCAGCAGCAGATCGACAGAAGGAACCTACCTTCGACTTACAGGCTGCAAATGGAAAACCAATCGCAACCTTTGGTAGGAAATACTTCTATCTGAACGTAGGTTTACGCAAACCTATTCGATGGATTTTCCTTCTCGCTGACGTTACAATGCCCATCATTGGCACGGACCTACTTAATCATCATGATTTACACGTAGACATCCGCCGAAAATGACTGATTGACAATACTACTAGTCTGTCTATCAAAGGCATCAGCTACATAGTCCCTAGTTTGTCACCCGTTAAGATAAAGGCAATTCTTGATCCAACTTTTCAGCCTATGTTGACGAATATCCGGAACTTAACCGCCCGTCGAACGACCTACCGTGCATAACCAGCAATGTTATGCACCACATCACTACCACAGGACAACCTGTGACATCTAAAGCACAGCGATTAGCTCCTAACAAACTGAGAATAGCCAGGAATGAATTTGACCATATGCTCACCCTTCTCATCATTCGACCTTCGAATAGCCCATGGCATCCCCACTTCATATGGTTCCGAAAAAAGATAGCAATGATTGGCGACCCACCGGTGATTACCGGAGAGTGAATGCCAAAACAACCCCTGATTGCTACCCGTTGCCTCATATACACGACTTGACGGCAACCTTATCCGGCGCGACTATATTCTCCAAAATCGACTTGGTTAAAGCGTATAACCAAATCCCGATGGCAACAGAAGATATCCCGAAAACGGCTATCATTACGCCTTTCGGACTTTTTGAATTTCTACGTATGCCATTCGGTCTCCGGAATGCAGCCCAAACATTCCAACGCTTCATTGACGAAGT